AAAATAAAAATTTAGTATTTACTTCGATGCTGCCTAGTTGTTATTTAAATATGCTTGTACATATGTGTGTAGGTTTATTTGCAAAATATAACGAGTAATCATACTAAGATTGGGTGGAGCCGAACATTAAATACTCGGCTGATATATGTGCGTACATATGCATACTCGTATGTACATATATTAAGGCAGAGCTGTGAAAACTACATACATACAAGGTCTATTATAAGTTTTAAACTTTATCGAATCCTGTTTTTTTTTCTTTTAATATTTCGGAGATGAATATTTTGACCCAAAAGTGTGTGGTACTTTCGCCCCTCATATATTTCCGTTTTTTGAGACCGTCTTTAACAAATATATGTTATTTCAAATTCGCATATAGTTACTAAATTATAGTGTTTGTCGTTATTTTCACAATTACCGTTATATTGGCAGTAAACTTGAACCTAGTCGAATTCCACTTATTTGCTGTAGCGTCTGTACCTATGACCTAAGGAACCTTTTTCGGCGCATTACGAAGATTCTTGCCTTATTGTCATACCCAAGTACCAGATTTTCGAAAGGTTTTTAAATGTTCCGGTTTGTGGGCATTTGAAAGCATTATAGCTGAAGCATAATCTACGCATATACAGCAAGAAGCTCTGCTTTCTGTGAACTACTTTGCAGCGCGGCCTACCAAGGGGTTGAAAAGCAGATATATATGATACACGATTATAAGTAGAATTTTTTTTACATAACCTCTATTTTTTGCAGGAAGTTTTGCTGTTAAAAAGGGTCTGCTAGGGACAGGGACCTGGCTGTCGATAAATAGGTTGAGAATACTTCGGCTATTTGTATAATTACCGCTAGATGGGCGGTGGTCATGAATGTGCCTCATGAAAAAAGAGTGCCAAGTTTAACCAAATTTCTGTCAGCTCTTGGCAAAATAAGTTTCACTATGAACAAGTGTAAGTAAACGTATATGGATTATATTTATATGTATACACATATGTACATATCTACATATACATCGCTTTCTTTTCGAACAGTGATACCCCTGGCTCTGTTGTGTTTTATCTTTTTGCCTTACAGAAACATAAACATGTAGAAGTACGTCTATGTTGGCAAATACATATATATGACCAATGGGATAGCCTAGTACTTGAGCAGAGATACACCACTAACCTCAACCACCTTTTTTTTTTGCCCCTTTTGAGTTGTTTACCCGTCTGACTACTTGTCGGAGTTTAACATCAAGTTCTACGGCTTGTAGGTAAAAGGGCATATTCAGTTGAACTTGCTTAAATACAAACATACATATGTACATACAGATATACATTCATATAATACATACATACATACATTTCGCCTGTCTACCTTTGGCTTGCATTTCATGTGACGCGGTAAACTTGTTTTGCTTTCAACCGAGAAATTCAAACGAGAAGAACGAAATTAAATTTATATATTCAAAAATATTTGTATTTACTTATGTACATATGTATGTACACACTATAAGTTATCAAAACTGCTCATAAACTGATATGATCATATGTATAATATGTACATATTTATTACTTTTATAACGTGCTGTATATAACGTATTTAGTTTTTTCACATAATTTTCTTTATTATTTTTTATAACCCTTGATGACATACATATGTATATACATACATATATATATATACATATATATATATACATATATATATATATATTTATATATATATATATACATATATATACATACATATATATATACATACAAATATATATATATACATATATATATACATATGTGTAAGCGAAAAGCCTTAGTACTCACGAGGCGGATAAATATGTTTTTTTTTTTTAAAGTATCTAATTCTACATACAACGTGTCGTAAATTTTACCTGTTCTCTGTACATACATATATATCATATGTATTTTATTCATTTTCTCTTAAATTTTGTGTCTAAAAAACATTCTACATATGTATGCATATACAAACGATTTTTGCTCATAAAATTGCTCACGTCTTATGTACTTACTGCATGCATGATTGTATTGTTCATATAGATATGGTTGTTTTAGTTGTAGTTTAAAACTTGTTCATTGTATAGTCGTCGTCTTGTCACAGCGACGAAAGCAATAAGCAAAGCGGAATCGAAAAACAAAATATAAACAAACCAGAAACAGCTGATTTCGCTTCTGTAAACTTATATGTGTTGGTGTTCACTGTTATTTTTATGTATACACATATATTAACATAGGTATACGAGTACATATATTTTTTTTTCATTTGTTCGATTTATTTTGTTTTACTGCCCAGCAAGTTTGTTACAAATAATCATATACTATATACAGATATAGAGCTGTCCCGAGCAAGCACTGCTGCGTATCTCAGCAGAGAAAATTGTGCTCAATTATTTTGCTCACTCACTCAGTTCCACTCAAAGCGCTCATCGGCTCTCCGTTACCCTATTTTGAATTTTCATATGTATGTAAGGTATTTCTCTCATTTGTGCTAAGAGATGTTAGCTTTTTTACCCCAACTATTTTCGTTCACTCTTTGTATGTGCGGATGTTTGTCCATATTGGCGGCATGTTCTGTTGCCTATAAAAATTATTATATTGCATATGTTGAGTTTGTTTGGAAACCTACGCAATTTAGGGTATCACACGTCTTAAGGTCAATTTAAAGGTACCATACCATAAAACTACAGCTGTAACAATAGCCACAACCGTAATTGCACTTAATGCAATCATTTCTTAGCCAAAAACAGCGTTTTTATTCGCTTAATATAGTCCAAAAATACGATATGAAACAAAAATATAAAGCAGAATATTAAAAAAAATACAAAGAAAAAACTCGTCAGAACCTGTAGCAGCAAACAAGTAAAGCACTAATCTTAAACGGCTGAGCTTTTCAATATGGTACCAATGCTAGTTTCACCCAAAAGAATTGATCCCCCTCTTAATGAAATTTGCAGGAATTGTTGTTGTAGTTGCAACTTATGATTATTTGTTATATTTTACAAATTAATGTACATACATACATATGTATCCACTATCCCATAATGTATTAATTTTTCCCACATTAAACGTGTAGCTCTCATTTTCACCTTCATAAATTTGCTTGTGGACTCGGGTTGATATCAGAAAATTAATGATCCGACTTTCATATCCACATACATTTTTGTGAATTGTATCCGTTTCCTAAGTTGTAAGTGAATTGAAATGTAAAGGAATGAAAATGTTCCACTGGGTTCGTTTTTGTACCCTCGGAACGTTTTTCAATCGATTTTTTGATTTTTGTAGAATTGGTTTAAAGCATTTTTTATTTTTTTATTTATTGAGGATAACTCGAAAATTCAGACATCTTTCAAAATAAAAGGGAAATTTGACAACAGCTGTTTGTGAATTGCCAATAGATTGTTTGGTGAGCAATATGTTTGTGAGAGAATGATGATGATGAGTGTAGCAAAAAAGTGTGTGTGTGTGTGTGTGTAAAAAAGAGATAACATTTATCGATGATAAAGATTGTGAAAATACGAATGTGTCAATTCACATTCACAGAAAATTCTTGAATTTACATTGTGGAATCGAAATGTGAAAATGGAAACACGGTTGATTAAAATCCAACAGAGTAGTTGACTGTGGCTAGGGTGAAATACCAGAATTCAGATAGTTTCGACTTTAACTTTGGTTATGATATTTCGTCATGGCTTCAATAATCGAAAACAGTGTTCGTTCAGTGCTCGTTCAGTTGGTAGGAACAGCTGTTGTGGTATGAGATGGTTATGACCTCTAATTTCAGTTTTAATCTTAAGCTGTAAGATACCAAGGGGTATCTAGTATAGTCTGCTCTTTATACTTTGGAATACCGCATATATGTAGATACATTCATAATGTATGTATTTAAAGTTGGATGTATCGTATCCTACAGGGTGAAGTTAGACTAGTATGCAAAAATTATACCTATTTGCTTAACAGCCCATCAGTAAAGGAAGTAATATTAATTTCCACCATCGTGTGTTGTTTTTATGTCTATCACGCCACGGCTGAGATTCATTCTCAGTTAAGATTTATGGAAGTGCTTCAACTCACGGCAACCTAGTGATTAGAGGTTATTACTGTCGTGTATGAGATTCATGGTTCGAGACTCGCTGCAGACAAACTGCAAACTGTCGTGAAGAAGAAATTCAAAATGGCGATATGAACTGGTATACAACTAGTATGAAGCTAAATCTTAGCCGGGCAAAGGACAGATCGTAGGACGTCATCGGTTTAAAAATAACACACATATGTTTGCTAAAACTTATGAATATAAGTATATAAAGTTGAGGAAACATAATAACCATTTATATTAAAAAAGGAAGAGTGCGGTAAAATGCGAGAAAAGTTAAATGTTGGAATTCTTAAATCTCAAACAGCTTCAAGAACGAAGTGACTGTAGCAGACGGACAAAAGTATTGTTGATTTTCGATACATACATACATACATTTGTAGATACGTACGATACAAATGTATATACCTACATATCCCAGCCAAACTTAAGTTCCTGTAGTCGGGTCGCGTGTGAAGAGAAGATAAGCAGATTGTAGAAAAATCATTTAAAAAATTTAACTTAGTGAGATTAGAATACCTAAGATTTGATTACAAATAACATTCGATATGTTCATCATAAACTTAGATAAAGACAATATCAGGACTACCCTTCACATAGTTTTGCAATATATTGTTTCTAGTCACTTGTGTACATGTTTTTCTTCTTTTTTTCAATTTTTTCACTTAACATTAATCCTCACCAGCATTGCTCAAAAATCTCACGCTCTTTTAAACTACTTATTTGTCTTTATAATCTCACAATGCTTTTTAAATCAAATCCAGTATTGTCAAAAAAAAGTCTTCGGCTCTGTTACTTTTTAAACTTATGAAAATTTTAATTAAATTTTTTGTGTACTAAAAATCGATGCAGTTCAATTTTATACAGAAAATAATTGAATTCACCACATTATTAATAGAAATTTCTACAATTTGCAGTGTCCTCACATTGGCTGAGCAGCGCAAGCAACAGCACAGCAGTGGCAAATTGACAACAAAGATAGTAACATTTGAAACAAAACTTGCTGCATACCGTAAATTCATGGCTATCGTGCCCTGTGACTTGGTATAATTTAAACGTTTGTGGTTAATATAGAATTATCGACACAAAAATATAGTGAATTAAAAAAAAAAAAACAGAGCGCAAATCATATCAGCAGTAATTCAATACTGCAGATCGAAAGTCCCAGGCATAATTAATTTATTTTTATATTTTTAATTTAATATTGTGTAAATAAATTAAATTGGATATAACACGAAAGGACATAAGTGTTACGAGGGCATGTTTAGTGTGATCGAAAGTGCGGTTAAGTGTCGTCTATGGCCGAATCCGTTAACAGTCAATCGCTCTCTGCAGTGACGGAGGGGCACGACGACAGCGCCATAGGAACTTCGGCGCCAACAACTGCTTCGACAACCGCAACAGCAAAAGCAACAGCAACATCAACATCAACATCAACATCAACATCAACAAAAACACGACGCAGCAGACAAATAAAATATAAACAACGTTCCGCAACACAAAAACAATACAACACCCAATATAAGCCAATCAAATCTCAGCAAAAATTTAAAAATAAGAGCCATAACCAACAACCATCTAACACATCAAATAATAGCGGAAGTGTCAGTGGTACCAGTATCACGTCTACAACTATAATTCAACAACAACATCCACGACAATTAACAAATAAAGCATCAACTAGTGTAAGTAGTGCAAGTAAACGTGCCGATAACAAAAATCGCAGCACATCATCAGCAACAGGAACCGAAGTGAATACCGCAAGTAATAATAATAGCACCCACATAGTAAGGAGATCGTCGTCTAGAGGAGTTTCAAACAATACCAGTGCTACAATTGAAGGTACCACTTCAACTGGAATAAATTCCTTACGTAGTGATCGTAAACGTCATTACGGCCAGCAGCAATTAAAATCCACAGCTGCGGGTACTTCCAGTGCAGCCAATAAATCACCTTCTACTCAACAGAAGATCAATAAGGGTAAGAGACAGGTCTGAATTGGTTTGACAATTGTTGTGAACATTCAAATTTTTATATGGTGAAGCTGTAAAAGAATTTAAATATGGACTAGATTAATTGGTCCACATTGATGTTACAATAACTATTTCGCAATCACACTTAGAAAATTTTAGTCGACCTATGGCTTGTATAATATATAACGGTTTTTTTATTTTGATTAATATATACAATTGTCAAACCTTGAGAGATCCTCTTTAAAATTTGTATATGGTACTAATAAAAAACTTTGGGTCCCTTTTGTAAACAACACTAATTATGAATCATTCGCCAGATTCGGTTTCGCCACTTAAGAAGCGCCGTTATCATACTAACATATCTGCTTGTACATCCACATCAACACTCACATCAGCAAACCCACCCAACAAAAATTTCATATTTGCATCAGCAGCCAGATTAGACGCAGCAACAGGAGAAGCTAGCCCAAATAGCAACAATCAAGGAGATTGTGTTGCCCAGCGGACTCGCTCTAAAACACTTACTACTGAGGACGCACACAACTTAGGACGTACTATAACTAGTCGTAGCAGACATTCAGCTCCACTTGATTCCATAAAGAAACAAACACGTCGCAGTGGAGGTTTAGATAACGGTAGCGGCTTAAATAAGGGCAATTCCATTGAATCAGTTACAGCAGTAGTAGCAGCATCAACAGGTACAGCGGCACAGCGAATCAGTTTAAGCGCCAGCAGTAGCAGCGGCAGCGGCAGCGGCAGCGGCAGCATTACAGGCCATACAAAAAGTAACTTACTAAATTATTTTCGCAAAACACGTAAAATCAGTCACAGTCGTACTGCAGCGCTCAACAAACGAGGATCAACATCTTTCACAGGCGATAACGCGGATAATAGCAGTGATAACAACCAACAGCAACAGCCACAACAACAACAACAAGAAAAGAAAAGTCGAAAGCTCAACCCAAGTACCGACGAAAAGAGCACTAAAACAAATTCAAGGCAAAGTAAAAGTCTTCAAAATAATAACGTCAACACCAATACAACAACGTCATCTGGCCTACGTAGAAGTGAATGTGGTGGTAGTGATAAGAAAAGAAATCAACAGCAAAACACTCGAAGCCTCTTATCAGTTGTGGGCAGTCGTAAGAAATTAAATACGAAGTCCACATCAACAACTATAGCAGCTGTAGCAGTTGATACAACAACTACAAATACAGCACCAACAGATACAACAGCTGTAGTAAACAGTACAGCAGGACCGTCGTGCAGCCGAACATCGACCGCTGGTACTTCAGCTAGTGTCGATAGATACTGTAAATATCGCAAAAGTTTACGTAACTATCATCAGTTGATATCGTTTGTAAACGATACAACTACTGCAACTGACAGCTCGTCTATAGCTAATAACGCTTCCAACGCATCGAATACAAATTCGGTTGACGAGAGCGTTACGAACGAGATAAGTAGCGGTGTGTTTGGTGTCGGAACCGTTGACGCCAGTGAAGAAGAGAACGAAAATTCTGAAGATAACATTGGAATATACGACGACGATAACGAAGGAGCTGATTTAGAAGACGATTCGATTGTTGGGGAAGGTGACGTTGTTATACGTGGCGACGGTGTTATTGACGACGACGACGAAGACGAAGAAGAGGAAGACGTCGACGACGAAGACGACGACATTGACGACGAAGAAGAGGAGGACGACGACGATATCGTTGAAGAAGAGGAGGAAGACGAAGAACTAGCCACTGAGGATTCGGAGGAAGCTGTTGAAGGTGAGTTTTTCTTCAGAGTTTCTACTCTACATATACATGGAATAACCGTTACATAAATTAAATTAAAGAAAAACTAAACACTAAACAAGAAGGGATCAAAGGAGTTGATAAATGCGCACTAAAAAACGTGTGTGGATTTTTACACAAATTAGAAATCAGCTAAATAAATATGAATTGGCAGTTTGTTTCCGTATTTTTCTATGATATATATACTAAATTGGCTGCTGCCATAGTTATAGTAACAATTATATAAACATATGTACAGCACAATTTATTTTTAACCTTTATTACAAACGTAGCTCAAATGCTTGAAACTTGTTTGTAAAAAGTATACACATACATACATACACATTCATATATAAAAAAATATATAGTACGAGTATATGCCTTTGTACATGTATGTATATTTAAAATAATGAAGTGCAAGCTTAAATTTATTTACTAGTTCCTTAAGGGTTACGGCTGAGAGTTTTGATTACGTTTAGCAGTGTTTGTATTTAGTGTGTGCCAAAAGCAATTGTGTTACGGCTTTGAAGCTCTACATTGGTTTATTTTTGGTTTATGTCACTAAATTGAGAAAGACATAAACGGTAGCAATAAATTACCTGCAAAAACAATAGTAATAGCTTTCATAGTCCAAATCTCAACTTTGCTAGGTGTCTTAAACAAAACTCTCATGGTTTACATACATACATATGTATATACAAATTAATAACTGTAAATAGAACTTGGTTTTATCTTGTGTTAATATACATATATACATATGTATGTATTCATATTTTGTACAAACAAAAAACTAAATTATAAATTTTCCCATATCAAAAATATGTATATAAAAATTTAAATTAATGAAGGCGGATTGAAATAGAATAACAGTGCTGTCACCTTTCAACAGGGCGCTCAGCTGTCTTTAAAAAAAATGTGTATACATATATGAGTATATATGTACATACATATGACTATATTATTATGATATATTTTAGTTGAATGTTTACTAACAAAGGCATTTGATAATCATCTCCTAATACATATGCACCTGTACTTACATTTATATAACTTGTGATTTGTCCATAACCTTTACGATATTTTTTTTCTGATTTTGGAATAGTTTATTTTAAGGAATTCACATTTTTTTCTTATGGAAGTGGGCGAGTCCACGGCTTGCCTGAAGGGGGGGGGGGTTTATATATGTAAATCTTTTAAGCTTATTTTCTTTTTATTGTTTACAACTGCATATATGTATCTGTGCATAACAATAAGTTGAAAAGTTTTAGTCTAATTATTAACATTTCTCGTTTCGTTTATGAAACAAAGGAGATATGTTGGAAGGTAGGTCAATTCTTAAAGCTCAGCTTTCTTAGATCGAAAATTGATTAGCGATCGGAGGTGGCAGCTCTGGCAGATGACAACAACGATGGCGACGAATCAGCTAAGATATTTTATAGGAGGAAGTGCAAAATCAGATCGCATTTTCTTTTAAATTCTTATTTGAACATGTTGATTGCATACATACGAATCGATTATATGCGCAATGAGAGAGAATTAGCATATATATAAAATGTTTCAAAATTGATGTCAAGGGAGACAGAAAATATAGTTTGGAATTAAAAGGAGATTCATAATATCAGAATGCAGTGATGTAGAGATAAGGCAGCAGTATAAAAATGATAATAACGAAACAGGAAAGCAATGCAGAGCAGTGGGTTAATGAAAGAGTTGCCAAGGGACTGCGCCATATATACAACACATACATACATATGTGATGAAAATAAATAGCATTGTACATATATACTATGTATATTATTGACAAATAGAAAACCAAAATTAAAAAAAAAAAAGAAATTCGAGGGCTATTTGTGCACGTTGCTGTTGTTGCAGTTGTAGTAGTTGAAGAGTATTACTTGGTGTTGTCTTTTTTGAACTATAATTTGCTTCCAATTTCTGTTTTTGTCCGTAAAATAATTGAATTTTTCAATTACGTACGTATCATATGGTTATTACACCTCTTTTTTTTTTTTGTTTTTACAAAACTTTGAAGTTTGAAAATTGGAAAATGATAATCAAACAATTTAAATAAATACAATATAAACACATTAGTCATTCGCCACTAAAAATACCAATTTGTTTTTGCGAATGATGATGATGATGATGATGTTGTTGTTGTTGTTGTTTTCGTCGTCGTCGTCGTCGACATCTTCGTTTTTGTGATGAGCGTTGTGGTCAACGCTCCTCGTAGTAACAGTAGTAAGTGTGTAGAATTTTGTGTGATTGACCTTTTAATGATTGTGAGCTGAAATTAAACATCAAACATCAACATCAAAGGCGTAAAATGTTATTACATGCGTAAACTACCCTATCGTAAATGGAATGGCTAAAAGCTGTGCTAAGATTTGGGTTTCAGTGTGATAAGACAACATAAACATAGGCCGATTGCCATAAACAGGCGTGTGAAAGATTGTGGAGAAAAGATCATTGTGTGTTTCAAAGTTGCGAAGAAGGACTGCACTTATCATTTTGTCATAGGAGTGGTTGCTACGCATAACGGGTCGGACCGGGCGTCAGCAACAACAACATCATCGTCGTCGTGTCGCAGGGCTTCAACAATTAACGCACATCCATCGACTGATCAATGTCATCCTCACTGATATACCAGCCATCAATCAATTACGACATCCTAACGGTCCACGACTCACCAGCCACCACTACCACCACCACAGTCACCAACACCTTCATTCTTGTTAAATCATTAGCAGCATAACTATTACATATAACAGGAACAATACGCCAAACATAGTACAATCATTCAAGAAATAGTATAAAATTTTATTATAAACGAAAAAACGAAAACTAAAATCAATAGAAAAAAAAAACTATTTCATCAACAACAACTACTACAAGACTTTTCTTCTGTTTGCTTCCTTACTATCGCGTTTCAAAGGTAACCGCAATAGAAAAACAATTGATTCGGAAAGCGTAAGCCTTTCTAAAAGCAACAACAATAAGAAGGGGAAAAAGAGTAAAAAGAAAAGGCAAAGTTTGAACCCTTACCTTATCAAAAGCAACAAAAGAAGCAGTGGAAACAGTGGAAGCAATAGAAGAAGTGCCAGTATAAAGTTAGGAAACGGAGAATCAAGCATAAAGAAGGTCGGCATTACTGATTCCGTAACCACAATCACAGCTACGACGACGGGCTACAATAAAGCCCCGAATCTGGGGGCACGACAGACGCGCAGCAGCAGTGGCGGCAGCTCTGATTTTGTCGCTGGGAGTTTAACAAGCACAGCCACAATTGCGGGAAGTGTCAGAGGTGGTGCGCCCATACCAGGTGTGGCGACATCTGCAATATTTGAACAACAACCACCGCTCCAACTTCAACAGCAGCATCTGCATCAACACCAACACCAGCAATCCTTGCCACAACACGCGCACTTGACGCACCCACTTATTGCACACTATAACCAGCCCGGACAGCAACAAGTGGCACCGCAAGTAATACTATCACAACATCAGTTGCCACAGCAAGCCCATTATCTACACGTCCCAGCTGGTACCGGCGGTGTGCATCACTATTACAATCCACAGGCGAACTTTCAACATCGACAGCATCAGCAACAACAACATCATAATCAGCAACAACAAACGCGTTTGCAGCAATTACAATCGCACACACAACAACTACAACCACAATCTGTACATTTCTATCACCCAACTTATTCGAGCAACAGCGCGGTAGCCGCGACAACGGCCGCCGCTGCAGCAGTCGCCGCATCAACATCCGCTATATTAAATTTAAATTTTAATCACTATCAACCAACAGGACCCGTCGCTGGTGCAGCGTCAATAAGCAACACACCGATTATCTATCAGCAACAGCAGCAGCGACATCAAGGGCCTCCACCGCCACCACTGCCGCAAGCGATACAACAGCATCAACAAATTGCTGCACAATCTCTGCATCCACAATTCGGTGGACGCTATCACCATACAAATCCGCATCAACAGCAGGCACCGTCTATTTCAACGCTACCGTTACCTATTACGCATATACAATCAGAAACACCACAGCCTTTGCACCGCATTCCACATTCACTACCGCCGCCCACAGCAGTAGGAGCAACAGGAACCGTATCGACGCATCACCAAATACATCCGGCAACAATTGATATTGGATTAGGTGCTTCAACGTCTTTTAAACAGCATCTAAACGCGCCAGTGCCAGGTCAGCAGAGTTACGGAGGCAATAACAAAGCACTCGTTGCAGGAGTAGGAGGAGTTGGAGGAGGCTCCAGTTCGACGGCGGCAGGCACATCGGGAGCGACATCATCACATACTTCACATTCGCTGAGGCGCAGCTCACGAAGCAAAACGGGTTCTTGTGTCAGTTCGGCAGCGCAACACGGCAGTGGTAGCGGGAGTGGAAGCGCAAGTGGCCATGCGGGCGGGGGTAGCAGCAGCCTCGGCGTGCATAATGCAACAGTTGTATCAGCACCATCGCTATTAACGTCATCGTCGACTGGTGGCGGCGGCGTTAGCGGTGCCATGCCGTCGACAGCTGCCGCTGCCACTGGAAATCACCATCAATACAATCCCCACCATCCACAACATATACACGCCCCCGCGTACGCTCATCATCATCATCATAATCATCTGGTGCAGCAACAATCACAGCAACAACAACAGCAACAGCAACATCATCAGCACATGCTTCATCATTCGGTTGCTGCACCGGGTGGTGCCGTTGTTGTTGCCATAGGTACAACCCAGCAAAATCAAGGCACATCGTTATTTCAACAACACAATCGCCAACAACAACAGCAACAACAACTACAACAACAGGCACATCATCGCGCCACAATAGTGCAACCCGGTTTCCTTTACAGCTACCGCACTACTGCTGCTGCTGCCAATGCCCATTCGACAGCGATGCCATCGAGCCACTTCGTTGGTGCGTCGTCTGCGAGTGCTGCCGCCATCGCCGCCGCTAATGCCAACATAACCACCGCTGCTGCCAATACCGCCGCCGCTAGCGTCGCCACTGTCGCAACGAATAGTAGCCACATAAATATGAATATGCATAATAAAGCGAGCGGTAAGTGTATGAGCAGCAAATGCGGGGTTGTTGTATTTGGTTTTTCTTTTTGTTTTCGTTTTATTGTTCTCGAAATTTGTTATGACCATGTCATCATAGAGTCCCTATGCGCGGAGTAGGTAGAAAATGTGTAGTAATTTTTTTGTTTTTTTTTTTTGTTTTTAATTTTGCCATGGAGAAGTTTTCTTCTTAAGTTTCCTAGAGTTTGTTTCGCAATGTTTATAACTGTAAATAAAGTTGAATTTGTAAGGTGTTGGCTTAATAGTATATAACATAATTGTGGTATTGTAGGTCAAAATATGTTTTACCAGTGGTGACTCTGTTGTGCTAGTGTTTCTGTTTTGAAATAACTGAATTTTGACATTTTGAGGTTATACCAAAAGTGAGGATATTAATATGTTAACGCTGTAAAATTGTTCAGTGGTGAAAACTATAATTCAGCTACACTTCATGGTATAGAAAGGAACAAACAAGTCCTCAGAGACCAGTATCCTCAAATTCATTTCTGGTCCATGTCAACGAAATAAACCAGTTTTTTTTGTAATATTGAAATCCTTTTTCAAGCATAGAATTGCTTGCCAATAAATGCCAAGCTGTAAAGTTGGTGGTTACACTGTAACAATAATTCGAATTTTATTTGAAGAAATATTAAGAGTCAGCTAACTATGGACTCACTGAGGATTACCCATCTCTTTCAAAGTGTTTAATGTTATATGCGGTAGCATTCTAAGAACACTCAAGTAGCTCTTATAATGTCAGAAATTTAGTGCTTGTTGCTAAGTGTAGTAAACACCCTATGTATATATGTATATCTATATTTGCTTACGTAAAATGTTTGTGCTACAATTTGTAAGTAGGCTGGCTGACAAGATTATGTCGAACCTGTAGTTCAGGGTATACCGGAAATGGGCGTGGGCAGTGTATGGAAAAGGGTGCTTTTAAAATTTATTTTTAGCTTTGCTTAGTTATTTATAAGCATGTCAAATGAATTTAATAAGAACCTAGAAAATTGTCTACTTTCATGGTGCATTCTAATCTGCTACTACCCACCACCACCACCACCACCATCACAACTACAACGCACGCAAATATGTATGTACACAACAGCTTCTGCGGATGCGTTAAGTTATAGTTTAATGGCCCAACAACCGCCGACAGGACCGCCCAACACAGGTGGACAATCGACTACAGGTAATTACTAAAAAGAAAAAAAGAAAAAAAGAAGAAAGAGAAAAACGAAAAAACCAACAACAAATTATAAAGAATTGTGCTGACCGAAATACAACCAATTAAGCAACCAACTTCTCATAAAGTACATCATCATTTTCACCCTACTGTTCCTCTTTCCGCTCCTATTTACTTACCCTATGATTTTGTATGTATATATTATACATTTGTACGTTCTTTTTAGTTATTGTTGAAAATAGCGACGTGCAAAAAGAACCAGCGATGACCACTGTATTGTTTTATTATTTAAACTGTGTTTTTTTTTTATCACGCAACCCAATCAACCATTTTTGTATCCTTGTTAACCATCTCCTGTGACTGCTTCCCATATAATACCTGCTAAGTGGTGACAGCACTGTACATACATATATATGTATATATATATAGTATAGTTGCAAATTGATTTTACTTTAACTTTTACTTTTACTATTTTTATATTCGATGTAGATAATAGCATTTTTGAACGTTTGTTTTTGTAGATATAGATATATTATATATACTCTTTTTTATTAAATAAATACAAATTACCGCAAATATATTAATATTGATATAATTTCTTGCAGCTAACCTCAGCGTTACCACCGCCTTGGGCGCCGCCAATACAAATCTAGCAAATAACGCCAGCACGGGTGGAGGCACGGGTGCCGGTGCGGGCACCGCTACCGCAACGGCTACAAATACCGGTACGGGCGCCACTGGTGCCCCCACCTCGCACGCCGACTCGGAGAGCGATGACAGTGAAGTGGGGCGTCTGCAAGCGTTACTGGAGGCGCGTGGTTTACCACCACACCTCTTTGGCGCTTTGGGACCACGTATGACGCACATCCTACACCGAACCATTGGCAACAGTAGTTCCTCGAAGGCCCAACAATTATTGCAAGGCCTACAATCTAACGATGAGAGTCAACAGTTACAAGCTGCAATCGAGATGTGCCAAATGTTAGTGATGGGAAATGAAGACACACTTGCTGGTTTCCCAATCAAACAGGTTGTTCCGGCTTTGATCACATTATTGCGTATGGAAAACAATTTCGATATTATGAATAATGCCTGTCGTGCACTCGCGTATATGTTGGAAGCTCTGCCACGCTCTTCGGGCACTGTGGTGGAGGCCGTTCCGGTATTTCTTGAAAAACTGCAGGCCATACAGTGCATGGATGTGGCGGAACAGAGTTTGACAGCACTGGAAATATTGTCGCGCCGTCACAACAAAGCAATTCTGCAAGCTAATGGCGTATCGGCATGTCTAACTTTTCTGGACTTCTTTTCGATTAATGCACAACGTGCAGCACTTGCCATCACAGCGAACTGTTGCTTAAATTTGCACCCGGAGGAGTTTCATTTCGTTGCTGAAAGTCTACCACTATTGGCTCGGTTATTATCACAACAAGATAAAAAATGCGTGGAGAGCGTTTGTTCGGCATTTTGTCGCTTGGTGGAAAGCTTCCAGCACGATCCGAAACGTTTACAGGAAATCGCCAGCAAGGAGTTACTTAAGAATTGTCAACAATTACTAGTTGTTACACCGACCATACTTAATACCGGTACGTTTACGTCCGTTGTGCGGATGTTGAGCCTAATGTGCGGCAACTGCCCGGATCTAGCCATTTCTTTGTTAAAGAATGATATTGCATCAACTCTGCTTTACTTGCTTACTGGCAATGCCGAGCCCAACACCTCAACAGCTTCACATGTAGAACTTATTACACGCTCCCCATCAGAGTTATACGAAATTACTTGTTTGATTGGTGAATTAATGCCACGTTTACCAACCGATGGAATTTTCACTGTGGATGCGTTGCTGGATCGCCCAACACTTAACACTCAGGATCAAGTTCAATGGCAATGGCGTGATGATCGCGGCACTTGGCATAACTATTCCACGATTGATTCACGTATGATTGAAGCTGCCCATTTGAATTCGGACGACGAGTTCAGTTTGAGTACACTAGGACGTACATACACCGTCGACTTCCATTCAATGCAACAGATAAACGAGGATACTGGTACTACTCGGCCTGTACAGCGTAAAATAAATCCAAATTATGTTCCACCGCCGCCTCCACCATCTGCTGCTTCATCATCAGCTTCAGCTGGGCAAGATTTGTCGACATCTGCGGTAGCCACAGCGATTACAGCTTTATCTAATACAGTAGCAAATACAGCTGCAAATACTTCGGTGCAATCCAGTACGTCCAACACCTCACCAAACACTCCAGCTACCAGTAGTTCTCAACAACGTCGTCGCGCCTCGGTCGATGCACGAATTGCATGTCTTAAGGAGGAACGAGGTTTGGCTGCGGAATTTATTAAGAACCTCTTTAATGTTCTTTACGAAGTGTACAGTTCATCTGCTGGACCGAATGTACGCTATAAGTGCTTGCGCGCGTTATTGCGCATGGTTTATTATGCCACACCTGAACTTTTAAGGGATGTGTTAAAAAATCAGCTCGTTTCCAGTCATATAGCAGGTATGATGGGTAGCAATGATTTGCGAATTGTAGTCGGTGCACTTCAAATGGCCGAGATATTGATGCAAAAACTGCCAGACGTATTCGGTACACATTTCCGTCGCGAAGGTGTAATTTATCAGGTCACACAACTCACCGATCCCAACAATCCTATATGTGCCAATCCTTCACCAAAACCGTTACCCGGTGCTAGCGGCTCCCAGAGTGCGCCACCATCGGCCTCAGGTTTACAAGTAAATCCATTCTTTATGGATAATGCGACGGCAGCAGGTACTTCAACGACAGCGGGTAGCTCGACACCAAATACGTCAAAGCCAAGTGGTAGTCAAGGGCACCATCATCAGTACACAGTTAAGAGCTTTTCACATGCAATGAATGCTCTAACTGCGAATGCGTCAGCAACTAGTAATGGTCAAAAGGTAACATTGGCTATGCCCCCAAGCACTGGCCCACTTTTAATGCCACAATTGCCTGCTGGCAGTGTGCAGCCACGTCAGCAATCAGCTGGGTCCCTAGCGCTCACCATTAACTCCAATGCGGGTATAACACCGCCGGTGACGGTTATAGGGGCACCAGGCACAGCAGCAGACTTACATTATCACTACAGTAGCTCTGCACCACCTGCAGCAGGCCCACCTACACATGCACATCTGGGTCAGACGCCCAATTTTTTCGTTTACTCTACAAGCGCCGCAGCTCCACCATTGCCGCCTGGAGACCCTCGACAATATGTTCATGGCCACTTCCATCATCCGCCACCACACTTCCAGCCTCATCCACCACCACCACCAACACATCATGTTGATCTGTTGCCATCTTCATCTAATGCAACTGTTAGTGGAAATCCACCAACCCTATTGGGACATACGCCACCTCAGCAACTTATGCCACAAGTGGTATTTGCTCCTACTACAAACGTATGCGATCCACACTATCACAGTAGCAGCGGTAATACTGGTGTGGGAGCCATAAACACAGGCTCTTCGGCAGCTTCATCTTCGTCCGCTTCAGCTTTGCAACATAAAATGTCCGACATGTTAAAACGCAAGGTCCCACCGAAACGGAAATCTCAGTCAAGCAGTCGATCTAAGACGCGTCAAGAAGAGGGAGGAAGCTCCTCCACATCATCAATGCATGATTTGCTCAGTCGTGCTACAAGTAAGCTATTTCATAAAACATCATTCACACTTAAACACTGTAATTTCAATTTTCCATTTTCAGGTCTTGGTAGCAGTACCGGTCGTAACACACCAAGTGCGGGCGGGGGTAAATCGCGATTCAGCGGGGGTGGCGGAGCCAATAGTGCTGGCACCAGCAGTAGTGGAAGCAGCTCAACCAAAACTTCATTCCTCGCTTCTCTTAACCCCGCACGTTGGGGACGTCAAGGATCTCACCATAGTTCATTTACCAAAGATACGGGTAGTGCAAATCACTCAGGCAGCAGTAATAGTAGCAGTGCAGTGAGCGCTGCTCACGCTGCTAGCCATAGCGGAAATAATGCCGCTAATAGCATCAGCAAAAGTATATCCAATGCGAATCTCATTGCCGCAGGAAATCGGGAGAAAGCACGTCAATGGGTTCGTGAACAGTCCATTTCATTTGTAAAACGTCACGCCGAACAAGAGAATGCAATATGCGATGGTGGTGCCAGCGGCAGCAGTAGTACAGCCACGAGTGGTGGCACCAATGTACTACAACGGTTATCTACTATTATATTTAAGCTAAATGGTAGCTTCCAAGACTGTTTAGATGCGTTACTTGAACTGAAAACAATTTTACTAGAAAGTGACATCTCACCATTTGAAGTTAATCATTCAGGACTAATCAAATCAATGCTGAATTTCATGACATGCGAAGACGGCATAGTGGACCGAGATAGCCGCTTACGCTCATTTATGCATGTATTCGCCGGTTTGCCTTTGGAGCCATTAAAGAAGGTGGGGCAGATGCCAAATATAGATGCCGTAGCATTCAATTCATTTGTTGCGAAATTAAATGGTTGCGTTACGCAGCTAGAGCAATTTCCAGTAAAAGTACATGATTTTCCATCCGGACCAGGAGGGCGGTCTAATACTAGTGCTCTAAAATTCTTTAATACACACCAACTCAAGGTGAGTTTAAACAATTTAATAAGCAATAATAACATTTTTAACACTAAAACATTATTAAATTCTTTTAGTGCAACTTGCAACGTCATCCTGACTGCACAAATTTGAGGCAATGGAAGGGTGGTACCGTCAAGATTGATCCTCTCGCTATGGTACAAGCGATTGAACGCTATTTGGTTGTTCGCGGTTATGGTGGTATACGTGTCGATTCAGATGATGACTCAGAAGAAGATATGGATGACAATGTGGCCGCTGTTGTGATGTCACAAAGTGGTTTCAAGCATAAATTACAATTTCTAATTGGTGATCATGTTTTACCCTACAACATGACTGTTTATCAGGCTGTTAAACAATTTTCGCCATTGGTGAACGATCAGTCGGAAACTGATACCGATACGGAGACGCCATTGGGAAATGCCAGTGTTTGGGTGCAACAGCACACAATTTACTATAGACCCGTAGAAGAGGAAGCCAGCAGTAGCAGTACTTGTGCTACCACTAGTGCCACCTCTAGCGTAAGCATTAGTAAACATGGTGGTATCTCATCTGCATCATCTTCAAGCGCTGCTGGTGCTTCAGGATCGGGTATGCATACGCCAATATGTGGTGCATCATCGTCGAACACGTCTTCATCATCGAAAAAAAGCAGTAAATCGTCATCCAAGTTGCTACGTAAGAAAACCGAATTGTGGCATGAAGGTATAGCGCCTAGTACGGTATCAGCATTAAAAGCATTCCTTACAAGCACTCTGCCGTCCGACTTAGTCACTGTGCAAGATGCTTCTTTAGATGCTCTTTGTATGCTACGCATCATAAATGCACTCAATCGACATTGGGAACAGTTGTACGGCTGTGTACATAAACAAAACATTATATCACAATCGGAATTTGTGCATCCAAAAATTACCGCTAAAGCCAATAGGCAATTACAGGATCCACTTGTTATAATGACTGGCAATTTACCAGCATGGCTGCCACAAATTGGTATGGCATGCTCGTTCCTCTTCCCCTTCGAAACTCGTCATTTGCTTTTCTACGCGACCAGCTTTGATCGTGATCGCGCCTTACAACGACTTTTGGACACAACGCCAGATCTAAATGCGGCTGAGTCGTCAGAACGTGTGGCACCACGTTTGGACAGAAGAAAACGTGCCATATCACGTGAAGATATACTAAAACAAGCGGAACATATTATTCAAGACGTCGGCCACTCAAAGGCACTCCTGGAAATACAATACGAAAATGAAGTAAGTATCGATTATAATTTGCTTGAAGTTTCATTTTAATCTAACCGCTACTCTTTTTTTTTAAAGGTTGGTACGGGACTTGGTCCTACATTAGAGTTTTACGCCTTGGTGTCTGCTGAGCTACAGCGTTGTGATTTGGGTCTTTGGAATGGCAGTGATAGTTATAAACAAAACTCGTCGAATATAGCGGATGTTGTAAAATCCAGCACGAGTGTACATATCGACGACGCGAGCGAAGCTACGCCTATTCAACAAGATAATACCGTTCCTATGGGAATGCCGGCTGGTACGACAAACGTACAAACAAACAGCACAACAACAACATCAACAACAAGTTCCATTACGGTTACGCGATCAAGTAGCAGATATCATCGAAGTGGAGACGGTCAGAATGCTAATAATAGTGGCGGTAGCAGTAGTGGTAGCGGTATGGGTATGTCTACGCGTAGCCATCACAGTCATCAGCAACAACAACAAAGTATGGATCATGGTGGCTCATCGATGTCGAATGAAAATGCTTTGAATATGATAATTGAACAGCAAATTGGTGGCGATGAATTGCAACAACAACCACAACAACAACAATATATTTCACCATCAGAAGGTGGTGATAATTCAACATCTGAGACCGCTACGAATAATACACCTGTTGCGACAATAACAACAAGCACATCCGTAAGCTATGTAAATGCGCTACACGGTCTTTTCCCAATGCCACTGGGAAAATCGTCAAAATTACCACATGTTTCGAAATCCAAGGCGAAATTCAAATTCCTTGGGAAATTTATGGCTAAAGCTGTAATGGATAGTCGAATGGTAAGTGCATTAAATTAATTTAAATAAAATTGTACATGCAGATTAGATTATATACATATATACTATATCTTTATATTGTCATTTTCAATATTTTACAGTGCTGAAATATTTTTTTTTCAAATAATAATTATAATAACTTTTTATATTTTCACAGCTCGATCTGCCCTTCTCAATACCATTTTATCGGTGGCTATTGAATGAAGAACATTCGGTCGGTTTATCTGAGCTGGCATGGGTTGCGCCTGAAGTACAAAGTACATTGGTGCGCCTGCAAGATGTGGTACACGAGCGTGAACTCATATTAGCCGATCAAAACATCGATGCAATGGAAAAGACTGAAAAGGTGAGTTATCGGGATATGCGTCTATAAGCATTTGTGTTTATATTGATTTTTGTTCCCTTCATTTCAGATTGAATCCCTTGATTTGGACGGTTGTCCCATAGCCGATTTGGGCTTAGATTTTGTATTACCTGGATATGCCAATATTGAATTATGTCGTGGTGGTCGGGATACGGCCGTTACTATACACAATTTACACCAGTATATTTCATTAGTGACGTATTGGTTCCTGATTGAAGGTGTGCAGAAACAGTTTGAAGCATTGCGTGAAGGTAAAATATTATTGTTATATAAAATTTTTGCATTGAATTTCATAAATTTTTTTTTTATAATTTTGAAGGATTTGACTCGGTATTTCCCTCACAACGCTTGCGCATGTTTTATCCTGAAGAATTGGAGAGTGTCTTCTGTGGTTCAGGAGCCAGTAACTATCAACGTTGGGATGTTAAAATGCTACAAGACTGCTGCCGCACTGATCACGGCTTTACACAAGATTCGCAAGCTATACAATACCTATACGATATATTGTCTTCGTATAATCGCGACGAACAACGACTATTTTTACAATTCGTTACTGGTTCGCCACGATTGCCAACTGGCGGCTTCAAGTCACTAACACCGCAACTAACAATTGTGCGCAAAACATTCGATGGCAATCAGAATCCAAATGATTATTTGCCATCTGTTATGACATGTGTGAATTATTTGAAATTACCAGAGTATTCCAGCCGAGAAGTGATGCGACAGAAACTTAAAGTCGCTGCAAATGAGGGTAGTATGTCGTTCCATTTATCGTAAATGCGAAAATGTCCTGGAACTACAGTGTAAAATAAAATAAAATAAAAAATAACACATAAATGTGAACACAAGTTTAATTAGTCGGGTGATATGATAAAACTACAGTTCGTTGATTAGGAAACTGAACTTCAGAAAAAACATACATATATGTAACTATATACCAAGCGAAAGAAAATATTTAATGAGAAACTATTATGTATGTATATGTATAGAAACAAACATAAGCAAACACACATACACATTTAATCATATTCTTATTTAATGAATTCAATATGAAATATGGAACGAATTAAAGGGAAAGGATAAATAAAATATAAAATGAGAATAAATTAAGGCAAAAATATTTTGTATTAAAATATTAGACGGATAAACAAACGAAGGAGAATAACGCACAAGTGTAAACGCCTCACATTATACATTATAAAATTAATATTAGAAGGTAATGTATAATGTTAACGTTAAGTTTTGCATTAACTGTGTAAACTCTCGAAAAAATGTTGTGCGAATTCGCGGTAGCAGTTCATTGATAAGTAAATACGGTACCGAATCAATGCTGCGAATTGTGCGTGTCAACGTGTTGCATTGAAAATAGATATAGATTTTTTTTATTCAATATTGTGATGAAGCATTTTTATGCTGGAAAAAAGTAGAACCGCGGAAAGTAAGTTGAGGGTGCACCGTTTTGAATAAAACTCCATTCGTGCATATGTAAAAGATAAATTGAGTCGGAAAACTTGTGTAGCAAAGGCTAATAAAAATTTCGTAGATAATTTAACTAAAAAGATAAGGGGAAAAATTAATATGTTAAAATAAGCTTATTTGTTTCATATAATTTAAAACAACTTTTTTTTTTGTAACTTAAGTTTCCCTAGTAAAGCTTATGTATCGAATTATTAATATATGTATAATATCATCGCTAGATCATTGTGTTCTTTTTATTTCTAATATTAAAACTGATGAATGCTAAATAGTTGTTTTCGTAATAAGTTTGTGCATACAAATATTTATGTTATTTGTATGTTTTTGCAAAACTCGTCAGGTATTTTCACGTCGCATCGTTCGACGTTTATGTAAATGATTACAAATAGTCTAAAGAAAAGTACACAATTATCATGTTCAATTCAAGATTAAGCCAAAATCTGAAAACTTATGAGTAAATGTATATTTAGTCTTTATAACCCTAGCCATTAATGCTTGGAATAAAATAGACTTAATCTGAACTAATGTGAATTTCCGTATATGTAAAGTTCAATGCATATACGATATATAAATCGCTTAACTATTATATAATAGCAGTTAAATGGTGATTTGCTTCTTTATTTAAGCCATTCAACTAAACACATAAAAATATACATATGTATGTAATATACATATTCATCCCTCTTTCAGCAGTCACTCTAATTTCACCAAAATACAAAAACGCTTCAGAAGATGACAGAATTTTTATTATTATTTAGCGTAACTATGCAACAAAGACAATTTCAATGAGCTGATAGTAATATGTATGTATATTTAGAAGAGTACAGTACATACATACATACATACACGTATATGGATATGATTTAATTGTATTAGGCTAAGTGAACTTATGCATATATTGTGGGTGGACAAAACTATATGGACATACATACATATACACGTATATATAGATATTGCCGGGTTTAACAGTGCAGTTGCGTTAGTATAGCACAAATTCTCTAAACTATTAAATTAACAGCACATCGATTCTCCCACCTGCGCCTTTCAAGTTATGTCGGTGGCGTTATGATCTATATTGCTTTTGGCAGTTGTTTTCACAAGAAATTGGTATGCGATTCTTTTTTTTTTTTGTTTTTTTTTTTTGTTTTGTGCGTTACTTGTATAAATTATAGGCGAAAATGTTTGTTTTCATTGCTCACCAATTTAATATTATCGAACTACTCGGGCGGAGTTTTCATAATTAAATATATTAGTTAAACATGATAAGCAGTAACATACATACATATATATATATATATATATATATATATATATATATTATTGGTATTTCCATAACTTATATAAAATTTCTATCTGTCAGTTTAATATGTATTAAATAAGTGAAATATCGATAATTAAAACTTGGAGATATGTATGACTAAACTAATAATAAACAAATAAATATAAATACATTCAAAACAAACATATATAAAAATACAAAAATATTAATACATTATAAAATATTAATGGAATATTTGAAATATATTATTAACTCGTAATTTAGTCGTAAACTATTACATAACATTTAAAACTTAGTTTAAAGATAGAAAACAAAAAATTGAAATGTATTAAGCGCAAATTAAATACACTCAAAAAGAAATCAATAATAAATATAATCAATATTGAATTCAATAATAAAAATGGTTTGATTTTTGAAAATTCCATAGTGATGTGCTAATGGTTTAGTTTTGTTTAGTCTTAGAATGTTATGACACTTATGACTTGTACAATTAACACTTCCGGGTGAATTGGTTTCAGAGGGCATGCAAAACGCTGGTTAGCGTCGTGCGGGAACTGGTTGCATGCAGGATATACGTTAGTGATGTTGGGGTCGAGTCTGGATAAGTAAGAATTTAATCTGTAACAATATCGAGACCTGAGATGTGTCTGTCTGACGCGGGACTCTCGGGGCAGCTCGAGGTCTGGCGATATCAGAAGGTTTCCTAACACGGTCTCGAGTGTGGTGTTTTGGGCAGGCTTATAACTTCTTCAACTGTGTCTCAGTAGCCGCTGTTGCTACCGGCTAACGCTTTGAGGATTTTGCTGCGGCTCTGGAGTTTTTTGTATGCGGCGTGAAAGAGTGCTGGCTGTCGAATGTGACTCCCAGTAACTTTGGGTTGTTTATAGTTGGAATTTAGAAGCCATCGACTTTACGCCTGTACTACTTCGTCTAGATGGTGAAGAGGATAGCCGAGGATTTTATTGGTTGTAGTCTTAATTTTCTTGCCGCGAAGAAGTGTGAAAGTTCATCGTGACAGTGGCTAATTTTCGCATGAGGGAGTTTCGAGATATAAAAGTTAAACGGCAGTGGGGAGAAGACACCACCGGAAACCCTTGTTTAAGCCTTTTGGGTTTCGATGTTTGACCGCGAAACTCTAACGTTGATTGAAAACCACTCAGGTAGCCCATGATCAACGTCTTCAACCCCGGCGGTAAAAAGGATTTCTCAGTCCAGTAGTAACACTAAATGATTGACCAAGTCAAAGGGAGTCATGCTGCTAAGAGTTCCTTGAGACCGTAGCGGTCTAGTCTAAAGTCTAATGACTTTGTATTGGACTGACACCACTTGAGAGCGATTTAACTGTTCCAATTTTGAATCTTAGTATTTGTCTAATATACATATGTATATAAAAGGCTTTGTTCTGAATGACTGACGGATCGACCCACAGCCTAAACCGCTGATCGTAGAGACCTGAAACTTAATTTGATTTGCCTGACATCTGGAACTTACATACATAGCTCTTTGCACAGACTAATATGAACAATTTTCTTTTGTTTTCACTTATGTATTTTAAAAACCAATATAAAAACCGATTAAAAGTTTTATTCGAACCATCTTCGAAGCCGCGGGCTTATGGACACATAAGAATGTTTTGAAAAAAAAAAAACAACAGTAAACAAGCAAGTATTGATTATAAATTTGATATCAATTAATGCATTGGCCAAAGGAAATGGTTTCAACTCACGAATTCAAAGACGTTTCGACCAGTTGTGTACTCCGGAATGAGAAGAATCATAAATACCTAAGTATAAATGTTAAATGAAACTGTCTCCAGGCTGAGTTAACTGACTTCTGGGTTTTTTTTTAAAATGACCAAACGAAGAAGAGAAAAATGCCTGGCCACTCATTCGAAAACTCTTCCGAGTTTTTCTTCACATCCATTTTCTTGGCACTGGCACTGAAAGTCTATAAACTAAATTGTTTACAAATTAAAAGTGAAAAGAAGCGGGCGGTAGCTGAATATGAAATGAGGTCAAAATTAAATACAGCAAGAGCATTTCAAAACAATACCAACATAAACCAATCGGAAATAACGAATAATGTTGCTCGAGCCGAGCAACACATCTTTAAAAATATTTTAGCATAGTTGTGTGAGAGATCACTTACATATATACGTACTTATATATATATATATATATATATATATATACATATGGATACATACATACCATATGCACGTATGGATGTGAAAATAGTTGAAGATGAGGACGATCGGCAATAGGGAAATCAACGGTAACAACAGCTGCTGTAGGAGAATTTCGTCCAACGAATGGCCAACTCGACATTTTGTAGGCCGAAAGAGCGAAATATTTCGTTTTTCATTTTTAATACAAATTTTTAATTTATTTTTAGAAAAACCAAATATGCGTTTATTTCGTTGGATCGCATTGTTGAATCGAAACAGTTGGACGGGTACGAAAATCGTGTTCGGGAAAGTCATTCGGTTGTGACAAATGCATACATATATGTGTAATTAGAAAATTTATAAAATAATATTGAGGCTTTTATTAAAATTAAAAAACAGTAGTTAAACTTAAATATATACATATGTATAAAAATCACCGTTAAATTATAAAAGCACCTTGAAGGCGTTCGTTTGAATCAGATTGTACCACATTTTACAGACAAAAGTGAGTTCATGCGTTTGATTTGTTGGTGTATCCACGGAAAATGTGTTCATTGTCTGCTTTGAAGTGTCCGCTATGTGCACAGACAAACTTTCCCAATATCGATGCTTTGCGTATGAGTTTAATAAAAGCCGCAAATGGACCTTTGGCCTGTCCAATTTGTCATGAACTGTTTTTGGGTTTGGACAAGTTAACTATACACTTATTCAGCCATACCACAATAATGATGACCGAAGCGTCAAAAGATTTGATCGCTTCAGATACAAAAGGACAAGAACAAGAAATAAAAAAGGTAGCAGCAAAATCGGAAAATAAATTGCAAGCCGAAGAAACGGTAGGAATTTCTCCAAACACCGAACTCAAACGTACAAACAATGAAAGGAAAACAAAGAAGACTCGACAAATTATTGACGATAAGACTTTAACGGTGCAAAATGAAAATTCGAATAATAGTAAAAACGGTATAACTGTCAAACCATTGGATAGTAAACTATCTACGTGTGACATATGTGAGTTTACATTTCGTGATGAGGAACTGCGTGATATGCACTTTCGCCTGGTGCATCAGAATGTAAACCACAATAGCAATGAGCTCGCCGCAAATTCGTCCCTCCCTTCAGATGTGGAGTTCAAATGTCACCTTTGCTCGAAAACATTTAAAATGAAGGGTTCGCTACGTGTACATCTCAAAGTGGTCCATCTTATGTGCCTATCAAACTCGGGTAACAGTCCAAAACTCAGCATATGCGATCGTATACGTCATAAGGAGACCAAGGTTGCAGCCACAACCAATAAGACTATACCTGGTGTCACGTCGTTGAAATTGGAAAATACAACTGCACCAATATTACAGTCATCAGCAACGCAACATACATTAGCGTTAACTGCAAATCCACCACAAACGGTACCGCAGGTGGCCAACGGCTTTACATTCGGCACTTTAACATTGTTGCCGGCACCAGCAGTTACGGCTAATCCGACGGGAAGTGTGTTAAATTTAAATAGTAACGGTGAAATATTACGTACTGTGGATGGTGCACCGTTAAATTCGAATGTTTTATTGGTAATTAATACAAATTCAGCGGCAGTGCCCAGTGCCGAACCTGGCGCTGTTGTGTCTAACGTGTTGGCGAACGGTGGCATAGACCTCCTGGAGCAGCAAGGTAGAAACAATGCAGAAAATAACAAATTGTGGAAGTGTGATGAATGCTCAAAGACTTTCACAACGAAATATTTCCTTAAAAAGCATAAACGTTTGCATACGGGTAAGCAACTTTCAGGAAAATATTTTATTTTCTTTCTATTTAATTTATGTATATATGTATGAGTCTAGTCGTCCTCTACCCTTGGCAGTACATCCCATAAATCTTGTAGCTTATAACCATCTCGTATGCGCTCCATTGCGAAACCCAACTCCTTGCAATATACTGGCTCTCTGACGGCAGCTTCCGTACCGGCTACAGCAGTACCTTCGGCCAAATAGGTATTAAGTTTTGTGTTAACTTCACGTTCTTGACGATTATCGATCTCTTGAAATTCCTCGGTTTTTAGTTCCTCTGTGTCTTTCATCTTGGCTAAACGTTTTTGTGCTTCCGTTGAGTCGTAACACACTCCAAAGTTGGGATTCTCTGAATAAATGGCGTGAAATGAAACGAGTTCCCTGTATATGTCATTAAGACGCTCTACGGGATCTATACGAAAACCCAGCACATAGCCTCCACCTGTTTCAGCAGTTTGTATAACAAGTGCGGGTCCATATTTTGATTCGCGAATGCGTATCTGTAAAAGATAACAGAATTATTTTCAATAAAAAATAATAAAACTGTAATTGGCACTTTGTAAACGCTGAAGCGATTTTCCGACGAGCTCCTTCTTCAATTTGTGATAAGTGTTTTACAACAAATGGAGGAACCTACAGTTTATTCTAAGCCGCTTCTGAACGGCTGATGGTTTTTTTATGATGGAGGAGCTTTTACATCATGTCGGAAATACACTCGGAGAGCTTGACATTCTCTGCCGCGGGGCGACCGCATTTAGAAAATTTCGTTTGCTATAAATTTGGATGTTGGTCAAACCAGAGCACGAATCCTGGCCTTCAATATGTCTGTGAAACATTTTTGGCAAATAAATCTACCTACTACGGTGCGCAGTAAACAACCGGTTTCTAATATACGCGTTTTGGTTTCGTATTATTCAATTGAGTGCCAAGGACAAGTCATGATATATAAATCACAATATAATGATTATTTCTATATTTTTATAAATTTTGTCTGGTTGATAGGAACTATTTTTTGAATTTCATTTAAACACTCAAACTATCATATTTCTCAGCGATTCCCAAACTTTCCGAAAAAGTTGGAAAATGGATTTACAGTGTCTCGCGCTAGCGTGAAACTATTTAAAACCAAGGCTGCTTATCCTTACGAGCCTATTTCAAAACGTCAACTATGCGATACGAAAATTTACGTTTATTACTACCAGTGGTAGGAAATAAAAAAGGAAAAGCTTATATCAGGTGTACAACTTTGCTTCCGCCGTTTTCCGATAGGTGGCTGTACCGGCTGAGGCCGGTTGAAATACATAGATGATAATGCCTTTAAAGTGAGTGTGGACAGTGCCTAACGAATTGTCATCGCTCGAAAATGTCCTTTTATGTGCCTAATTCTCGCCATTTGCGTTACATTTCGAAAAGAATGCAGCTGAAGCGCATCGAATGCTCTCAGAAACTTACGGTGATGCTGCTCTGAGTGAAAGAACTTGTCGGGAGTGGTTTCAACGTTTTAAAAATGGTGATTTCGATGTCAAAGACAAACATCGTGGTTATGATTTGTATTTGGGGGGATCAGCTCGGTGTGATTTACTACGAGCTCTTAAAATCGGGTGAAACCATCACAGCAGATCGCTACCGAACGCAACTGATGCGCCTTAGTCGCGCGCTAAAAGAAAAGCGGCCACAATATCAAGAGCGACATGACAAAGTCATCCTCCAACACGACAATGCTCGGCCTCACGTCGCAAAAGTGGTCAAAAAGTACCGGGAAACGCTGAAATGGGAAGTCTTGCCCCACCCGCCGTATTCTCCAGATGTTGCCCCTACTGACTTCCATCTGATATGTACAAAAATTTGTTTTAAATTTAAAATATTTCTGAATTATTTATTGAAGATATTAAATATCTGTTTCTCTCATTTCTATTAGGTTCCAGTATATGAAACACTGCTATATCCCTAATGCGCCTGAGTATATTTATCTCCCTTTGAACAATGTTTACATCTTTATTCCATTCCAATGCTAGCAAAGTTTCTTTATTGGGTCACTTAACAATACAATCATTGTCGTTAGTTTTCTCATTTTCTTCATGAGTAGTGTTGGTATCATCTAAACACGGTTCTTAGTTGCACTTCTGAATGATTTCTAAAGACATAAATATTAAAGCAAGGTTAGTAAGGCTTTAAAGCTTTCAATTCCTAACCTGAAGACTCAAATTATATATATATATAAAGGAGATCAACCGAAATACGCTTAAACATTTAAGAGACTGTTATGTTTGGGATCCACCTTTTTTCGATCTTGTTTTACATATGCGTTATATTTTGCTAGTATGTTTTAGTGACTAACTCGATTTCATACATCCGAAAAATCGAAGCAAGCTATTTCTGTGTTAATTTTTATTATAATTTTCTCAATTGCATTCTCATCCATTGGCTACATTGACTAGATAAACGGACAGCCTTCGGGTGGTTTGCAGCTTCCTCTCCTAAAGCTAAGCTTTAAGTAAAACTTTCATTGGCAAGTCTTTTTTGGCATAAACGCTTTAATATTGTTACGATTTTACTAAATCAACCTCGATTATTTTCTAGATCCTTCGGGTACGATCTCTGGATTGTTAAATAAAAACTCGCCAACTTAATTTGCAGTTTCTTTCGTAATAAAGATTTTATCTAATGTCCTTTATTTACTCCGTAATACACAATTCAATTACAAGGCACTTTACTAGCTACAATCACTTGCATAAACTTTCACCATTTACTCTACTTAAATGTTATTCCCAACGCGTTCACTTTACGACTTAACTGATGTTAACGCCAACGAGCTCACTTTGTAACTAACTTCTTGCAGCTGAGTGTCGACCTTATATAGCAGTCGGCTGCTCGCAGACGAAAGCGTAGAAGCATCGAATTGTTCGCTATGGAAGGTTCTTGTTTTATCGTTTCTAGAACGTACTAGTTATCGGCTTCTCTCTTTCATCTGACATTCGCCTCGCATTTTCGCAACAATATAATCGTAGCTATAAATTCTCAACCACTTGTAAATTATCTTTCACTATGTCAGAAAAACAGAAGAACACACGAAAAACTAATTTAAAGTTCTTACAATTTTTTTTCGTATAGTTTACGCTTAAATGGGTCCACCCACCGATGTTTCTTAGATGGTTTCGTCCCTGACGCTTTGCTTTGACTAGTCGAACTCCGTATTTTTTGTTAAATCGCTACAGCCATTCGTAAAGCTGCGAAAACACTTTCCTTTTCCTTAATATGTAAATGAAATTCCTTAGCCTTTTCCCTCAACGTCAGTACACTTACAGGACAATTTGTACAATTTTTTAAAATTTTTCTAGGTTTCACACTTTAAAGTTTCACAATTTTTCTATTTCTATTAGTGGACATTTTCTACTTGACCACATTATATATTGGGTTCGTTCACTAAAAAATTTCATTTGATGACAAAAGCTAATCTTATTTAATTTTTTCGCAACCAACTGCGCGCTTAACCGGCTTAACGTTATATATATACATTTGTGAACAGCTGACATAGTGGGACTGGTTTGTGAAAAAATTTATTAAATCCTAGTTTTTGTTTGGTGCCCTGTCAGTGATGGAAGATCGAAAACAGCATTTTCGGCATATTTTTTACGAAAGGGTGAAAAATGCAGTTCAAGCAAACGAAAATTAGGTGATGCGTATGGAGATGAAGTTCACCTTACGCCAATGCCAAAATTGGATTGTAAAATTTTGTTTCTGCAATTTCGATCTTGAGGATTCACCACGTCCTGGAAGGCCTCTTGAAGCTGATGTGGGTAAAAAAAAAGTCAATGAGAATCGTCGTATCAGAACTCTAGAGATTGCTAAAAGATTATATTTGCCTAATTTAATAAAGTATTTCACACAACTAAAAAGTTGCTGAATTGCAGGAAAAAAAAATTATTCAGCGAACGACCCAATAATATCTTTTGGCTAAGCAAGCCACACTTGTTCCTTTTCACAAGCAAAGTAAGATGTTTGATTAATCGTGAAAAAGACGCATAAAAGAGGATTTTGTTTTCACATCGACGGTTAAAAAAAAAAATATTTATATATATAAATTAGCAACTGTTCACCTTACAGAGTTAAATAAAAAGTGCTCGTTTTGTGCGGTATTTCAAGTGAAGAAGAAAATAACCAAAGATTATGATTATTTTTTGAGCAACATTTGTTTTGTTCAAAAATTATAGTAACTGCCCTTCGGCAGAATATATCAACCCCTTCGTGTGTATTAGTGAGAACTGTAAGGCCCTCCATTTTGTTGAAAAATTTTCAAGACAAAATACCCTAATACGAGTTGGAGCTCGTCAGAAAGTCGCTTTAGCGGTTACAAAGCGCCTATTATATACACACCATATATATATATATATATATATGATTATTTTAGAAGAATTGTAGATACTCAATTATTTAAGCTTCTTAGTTTGTGATTTCTAAATTCACACTTACATTTGAAATTTGCAAGTAGGGCAAACTGATATTGAATGTTTCATTTGCATCTGCAAACCATACCAAACGGATATTGGTGACCACAAACGTACCCAAATTGCCTTGATCGCTTGAGAGATTCCAAACACCATTGACATTATTACAAACCATTTCCTCTGGCATAATTATTAGCTGTCCCGAGAGTATTATAGCGCCACGTAATTTCAGATCTCTATATAAGTAAGTTCGTTGATATAAACTAAGAAAAAAAAAAATGTGGAATGCTATGTAAGGTGGTTGTAGAGTTAATCAAATATATTTTGTACCCACTGATAGATTTCGAATATGCTTTGAAAAATTGGTTGATCTTTTCGTGCCGTGTCTCCAGAAATATCTGCGAAGAGGAATTCAAATCGGGTATTACTGCCAGTTGCCAAAATATAAAGCGCCTGCGTTGGGCCACCTGCTTTCGACACCACCGAGCGTGTGTTGGTATTGACAAAGCGACCATAACCGATGGCTAAATGAATTGGTACATGTGAAACAATATACAAGGCTTATGACTGAAAATATCTCTTACTTACACAAATTATATTTTTTATGTGATAAAGAATACCAAATGACACGTAAATTGGTTGCTAAAAGGCGTCCAGTATCGCCGGCATTACCTTTGGTGTCTTCAATGTGATAAATTGTGTCCAGAACCTTTTCACCCCTACGCAGGTGGTTTTGCCTAAAGGGATGCTAATGAAACTATTTGCTACTGACTGCACAATCTTATTATTTACTTACACATTTGGTGTGTCGAATCTTATTTCTTTATCTTCCCAGAGTAACTTTTCGCTTAAGGAGTCCATAGTGATTCACTCGCTAATCCATTTATGTATATTGATTTGTTTAGAATTGGCGTTACTAGGATACCGATTTAGTTAATACTAAGCCATCAACGAAGGAAAACTATGAGAAAATAAGGGTGTGTCAAGCTTGGGCTGGGCCGAAACATGAATATCTCACTGTTATTTACGTTAGAAGTCAGTTCAGTCAGATTTCAACTTATTCCCATATTTACTTTATGTCTACTGTAATTCAAACACACCTCCACTCAGTATTTGGAAAAAAGTTTCTTCGAATAGTTTCGAGGATTAAAGGTTAATTTACTTCGTTGGCGATTAAGGGAAGAAAAAACGAATCAGGCTTACACTTTTAAAACGTTTAAATGAAAAAAAAAAATAAAAAATAAAAAAAAAAATAAAAGCCTCGTCAGTGGATGCGGATCCAATTCTTACCGACCTACGTACCTTCTATAATAATAATATACCGCCCATGTCACTACGTATATACTACGTATAATAAAAAATATTTCGAGAAAATGCAGAATGTGAGAACTATTTGTTCGTGGTTCGCATCAAATTTAGTAAATCACACGACAAAGAGTCACCCTGTCTGAAACCACGTGTGGTACCAAACAGTTCGAAGAGGTCTTTCCCAATTATGACTTCACTTCTACGGTTGTCCAGCGTTAATTTACACAGCCGTACAAGCTTTGCGTGGATACTAAATTCAGACATAGCGACGTAGAGACAGCTTCTTGCTGTGCTGTCAAGGGAAGATTTAAAATCGATGAAAGGGTGATCTTTTCTCGCTGGTCTTTTCCAAGAATTGGCGCATGGTGAATATCTGGTCAGGTTTAAAGCCACACTGATAAGGTCCAACCAGTTTGTTGGCGGCGGGCTTTAATCTTGCACACAATATGCTTGCTAGGACCATTTATGCCATTTTAAGGAAACCTACCCCATGGTATTTGACGCAGACAGTGGGATCCCCTTCTTATGGATGGTGCAGAGTACACTTAAATTCCAATTGTCAAATATCCTTTCGTCCGACCATATTCTACAAAGAAGCTGATGAATGCACCTTGTCAGCTCTTCACTGCAATGTTGAAATAGCTCTACGGGAGGACGTCCGGCTCCAGCCACTTTGTATATATATAATTGACGCTTTGTAACCACTGAAGCAATTTTTGGCCCAGCTCCCCCTCCTATTTGTGGTTTTGCGTCTTGATGTATTTCCAACTACACAGTTTATACTAAGCCGCTTCCGTACAGCTGATGGTTTTTTATGAAAAGCTTTACTTCATTTCAAAAATACACTGGGTGAGTTGACATTCCCTGCCGAGGAGCGACCGCCATTAGATTTATTTATTTAATTAGCATAATTAATTTAGCTTAATTTTTTTTTGAAATTAATTTTCAATAACTTTTTGGATGTTTGTACGACACCAGGACTTGAATGGCAGTACGTAATGCTAACCACTCGGTTACCGCGGCTGCCGCTTACTGGTTTTTAAATGGGCGATCGCTATTCTCGTCATATTCGGGTATTTGGGTTCTACACCCACGGGTGTTCAATTTCCACTACCATATAGCAAACTGGAGAAGTGTTGCCTACATAAATTCAATATGTTCTGGGCATCAGTTATCAGATCTCCAGTAAACCAGTAAACGAGAAGACCGAATACTTATACGCGAGTCTCTCAAGGATCGCAAAAAAATCTTCTTTTGCCCTTGCAGCTGCCTTTCCGGATGAATTTAGTAAACCAGTTAGTGCTCGAACAGCTAGAAGAAGTTGTCTGGAAGCAGGTTTAAAAGGGTATAAAGACCGAAAGAAGCCGTGGCTCTCAGCAAAGAATAGGAAAAATCGTTTGGAATGGGTTTGCCGATACCAACATTTCACGGAAGACGATTAGTCGAATGTTCTGTGGTCTGATGTATCAAACTTCGAGGTAAGCTTAGTTGAGATCGTCTTAAAGTATTAACAGCCAAAGCATCTTACCCAAGAGCAATATTGAAGACATAGTACAAATCTTATGAAAACGTTATTTATTCTTTTCTACAGATATTTGGAACACCTGGTGTGACGTTCGTGAGGCGACGGGTTGGGGAAGAATATCATCCAGATTGCGTGGTACTCACTGTTAAGCATGGAAGAGCAGCATTATGATCTGGGGCTGCATGGCTGCTGCTGGTGTCAGCAGTTTAGAAATAACAACATTGTTTTGTTAGATTGACCTGCATAATCTTCAGTTCTTAACCCCATTGAGCACAAGTGGGCTATTTTACAACGCAAGAATAAGGAACACAGTATAACATCAAAAACTGCCTTAAGGAATGACTTAGTTAACCAGTGGTACGCTATAAGTGCGGACGAATGTGCAAAGCTTGATGGAAGGTGGACCTACTAAATATTTATGTTATTATCAATAATTCATTGTATTTTCACTGTTTTACTAATAAAACTTCATTACTTTACTCGTTAAAACAAAAAATTCAGTTCAATTAGTGGGGCGCCTAATATTTTTGGCCAAAACTGTATATAGAACATTGTTTACGGTTCAATGTAGAAGAGAAATACTAAAAGTAAAGTCATTTAACGATCTACAGCTCCCATACCAACAACCTGGATCGTTCTGTCATATATGTAACGATAAAATCAAAGAACTGAACTGCTTGTAAGGCGAGTTGGATACAACCTCAAATTTAATTGGCAGTGGTGAAAATGGTATCCCAGGTACTAGTGAGACTAGTCCATTTTTTCATGATTACAAAATGTAATTCTTGACTTGTTTGAACTTAAAATCATTAATTTGTTTCATTTTGACAAGACAAGAGAATGTAGAGTTATATTATAAGACTTAGGGCTGAGATTCCTTTCCAGTTACTATAGCATTGTTTGGTGAGAAAACTTCCCACTCTCAGTGTAAATTTTGTTCGGTTTATGACTCCCATGTAACAAGTGTTGCTGCCCATTAGCTTACCGAACAGAACTTATATCGCACTGCCTAGTGAAAGTTGTCTACATATTGAGATTTTTTTGTGGGTCTTACATAAAATGTTATTTGACCCATTCTCTTTGCTTTTAGGTGAGATGCCATATACATGTGAGATTTGTGCGCGTACTTTTACCTTCCAACAATCATATCATAAACATCTTTTGTACCACAGTAACGAAAAACCACATGTTTGCTCCACTTGCGGCCGGGCTTTCAAGGAACTGTCCACGCTACATAATCACGAACGGATACATAGTGGTGAGAAACCATTTAAGTGTGAAGTTTGTGGTGAGTTTCGAGATTGTTATTCGTTAAAAGAAATCAATTTCCAAACTAGTTTTGCACTTTTCTTCTATTTCAGGTAAATGCTTTCGTCAACGAGTTTCCTTTCTGGTACATACACGTATTCACACAGGCATTATGCCGTATAAATGTGAAGTCTGTCAAAAAAGTTTCCGATATAAGGTCTCGCAAAGAACGCACAAATGTCAGCCGTCACAGTGTTTTTCAGATGAGGTAGAGGATACAAAGTTGGAAAATGCTGATGGCACAATTACAGATAAACATACGCTCGATCACACCACCGATGATATATCAGAAAGTTTCATTAAAGAATTTCTAGAGAATACGAGTGTGAATATCAACGAAGCACAGAATTCACCAGCCAGCGCTGAAATCGCAGCCATCAATGCTGCGAACGATTGTAACGGTAATGTTGATGAGGCGCTACTAACTAAGGCGATCGATGATATAGTTGTTGAATCCTGTAATAAAATGGGAATTGGAAATCAAGGTGCTGTTGGTCAAAATCTAACATCTAGTCATATGCATACTGCGTTGGCTTCTCCGCTAGCCTGTAGTGATGATTGCAATTCACCAACACAGAAATTGCAAAATATGAGGTTATACTCACCTCAACTAGTCGAAAGCGTGAGCGAATATGTGAGTGACAGCGTAGATAATATGTATCGTAGGTTTCTAATGGATGAATCAGAGAATAATATGCTCTGATACTCGTAGCCATTAATATGCAACTTATTTTTATTTTTGCATATCATTTTTAGCATTTCTTGAAAAGGATGCAGTGATTACTGTAAATTATACAATTACCAATTTAAGTAATATAATAAAAGTGAACTTAAGCTTTACAGATAATTGTTTACATTTTTTATTTCCTCTACAAATTGAGAGCGGTTTTGATATCATCAACATTCGCAAACCTTAGAGAGACGCCTTTTCTGACATCTGAGTAGCAAATGTTGCGGCGAAGTCCATCTCATTTTTCAGGTACCACCTGGAATTTTTCAGTCTCGTTTCGTTTAGCCGTTTACTCAAGTTTTGCGGCGATACCAAAGTCAGACATATCCCTTCGTGTAAAGAAAGCTCTTTTCGTGCTTTTAAGGGAAAAATTTCCAAACGGGGTTGTCGCTCGAAGAGGTGATCACAATTGACCATCGATATTTTGTGATTTAACACTTTATAACTTCAAGGAGTAGGATTTGAATATACCAACATACGACAGCAGAAAATACAAATTCCTTAATATTGTAATTGAGATTACTAAATTGGTTTTCAACTCCTCCGGAAGAGTTGCTCTACAGACTGCATTTGAAATTTGTAATAGGAATACTTTGTGTTCCCTTTTGTCATGCAGACAATTATTTACATTGCAGCTGAAAAAGGAAAATTATAATGACTAAGCAGTCAGTCCCCGCAAATTTCCATCCACTAAGGATAAACGGCTTTACAGTTTGTAGTTTTGCTCTGGATTTTTCCTAAAGAAAGTGGAGCTACAACTTTCAGTTGCATTCGAAATACTCCAACTTATTCAAGACTTTGTAGATCAGTTCTTCTTGTAATTCAATTCAATAGGCAAAGTATTGTAAGGACCTCTAGATACAGAAAGAGAAGAGCATAAGGTGGCGATAAACCCGTCAATTCGCACCCTTTACTACTTGCCACGGAAACTAAGTAGTAGCTAACTGCCTTTGGTAACCGTTAACTATTCGTTTTGATATTCTCCCCAAATATGCTCACTTACAATTGAGGGTGGTTTTCCACAGGTATCCAAGCTCTGATTATAGTAGCTGGTGTTGCTAGTTATAACTTAATAATATTATTGATTAAACGTGTATTGAAACGCTGCAAAGTCATGTGAAGTGATTTAACAATCAAACTTCGCTCATTTCTCAAGCAAAATTTGAATATTCTCTATTTTTAATTTTATTATGTACAAAGAAATATAAAATCAAATCATAATTTATTCCATTGTGAAGACAAAATAAGCTCAAGTATTTTACAAGTTTAAACAAGCATAGGACATAATGGCGATGGAGGAGTCGCAGACACAGGATGAAATTATACGAAAGGCGATGTTGGACATGGGCTGGGATCCGCATGCGGAAATTCCCATGGCCAGTAAAGAAAATTTGTGTATTTTGGCCGAAATGGAGCAGATGGTGGAGGAGAAGATACAATTGCTGGAATCGAACATACAAACTGAGGATCGGCTGGAGAAATTGTTGCAACATTCTAAAAATGCGGAGATGTGTGTAAATCAGAATTTGGTAAGGTGATTTTAGCTTGTCTTCTTGTATTTCTTACTTTGTATTGCTCCTTTATAGAAACTGTTGCAAGCTCACCAGACTGAGGTCCATACAGAGGTACATCTGTATAAAGTAGCAGAGCGTGAACAATCGAAACTTAAATCTGATATTAAGAAAATTGATAAGGAATCTAAATGTTTCACTGAATACGTGAACACCACGGAAAGTATGAACGGCTATTAATTAAAGCAATGGTTCAAATCTTTCACTTTGAATATTTAATTTCTTCTTTGGCAGAGGAATTGTGTAGACGAAAAAATGCCATTGACGATTTGACATCACGCGTTAAATGGGCGAAAACGGTGTTACTCGAGTGGCGTGTCGCCATGGAAGACACTAACAAAGGTTATCAATTGATAGAAAAGTACTTCAAGGAAGATCAAGAGCTCGCACGCCAGAAGGACTTACGTCGACAATTGCTGCACAATGAAGTTGAGAAACTACGAAAAGAGTTGGTCATGCTGTACGATGAACAGAAATCATTGGAGCAGAATATTGAATGTACGGCAATATTATATCGCACAGCACATTCGGAACGCCGTCATATGGTAGAGACGTGGAAGGTGGCTGTGCAGCAAATGCTGCAACGTGAGCGCGACATACGAAATGGTGAAACTGAGTTAGTAAATTTGAAGCGGGAAGCTGAAAAAGTATTGAAAGAGCGCAGGAATTATGATAAACATTTGGATGGCTTAATCCAGAATAATCGTGACATTGAATATAATATAGCACTATTGAATGAGGAGACTTCACAGATTAAAGAACAGATACAAAAGCTCATTGATATGGCCATATTAAAGGAGAATGAGGTTCCTAGTTGCCTATTTTCTATAAATTTGCAATTGATTAGATAATTGTTTCTTAACATCATTTACATTTCTTTTAAAGGTGGAACTTTTACAAAAAGATCTGCAAAATCTTTCAAATAAAGTGCAACAACAACGTGTGGAAAATCGTAAAATGGCCAAAGAGAAAGAGAAACGTAACCATGCATTGGAAGAATTGAAAGCGCTATTGCGTAAATTAGAAGCACGTCTCACTGAAATGGCGAACAATCATATGAGCGCAGAGCAGCGGCTTCAAATGTTGGAAGAGATGAACGATACTGAAGAGAAAGCTCAGAATGAGATAAATAAAGATAAGTACCGTTTAAATGGTTTGATATATCGGAGTCAACAGCAATTGCAGGATATGAAGGACGAATGTAGGCGTTTGGAGGTAAGTCGCAATATGCATAACTAGTATATGGATTAGAAATGGTTTGATCACTTCATTCCATAATAAACCACAAGTGGTTTAGAAATTATATTGGTAAATATTGGACACGAAGAAAGACATTGGTGGAGAGGGCGTTTGGACAACAAGAATTTGAAGTTTTACATTTCGGTGCGGCATAAGCTATGTTCGGTGAGAAATGTCAGTAAGCGAATTAGCGAATAGCGAATAACGAATAACGAACGAAATGTGCTTTGCGCTTTCTCGGTGCAAACTTTACTGACTTTTTGCTCAGTAAAACTCAGTAGCAATTATTACTGCCCATCTCCAAACAGAGCTCTGACTTCTGACCGTCCAGATATTTGCTCTGAAAATTGCCATAGATATAATATATATTTAGAAACAACTACTTCTCCAAGATGTGTCGAAAGTCTCATAAAAGTCAAGTAAATTTCCCGAATTATAAATTTTTCAAACGGCATTCCGTGGTTGAGTTACTCTTGGTAAAAAGCAACAAATGTCGCAGAAACATAATATTTTATGTACTTAAACACATTCCATCTACTGATCTATAACTACATGGAATATACAAAAAAGACAGATCGGGACAACTGTATTGTACCTTAATCCACCACCTCGAGACGGTAAAGAGGGAGTCTCAAAGCCTTCTAGTAACATAACATAATAACGGTGTTATTATATCCGTACAAATAACGCATCGTCAAATTCCGGTCGGCTTGTTAAAGATATTTTCTACTGCTGCGGTAACTGCTAGGAGCTTATAGGCGAGTAAATTGGTTTAATTGGTTGAGAACTTATAATTTCGACATGGTTCGGTAACAAGTAAAATCGTGATATCTTAATAAACAGATAAGAGGTATCAGGCAAATTTGATGTAGAGAGCCATTGCCACCGAAGGATCTCGAGTTTTTAGCGATTTTGTTGTTCGCCATATTAGCAGAATATGCTTGGGAGACGCTGTTTTAAGTTGTTGTTATTGTAGCGGTTCACTAACCCCGCTTGGAAGCAAGCTAGATTAGTCTAAGTCATCGAGGTCAGGTCCTGGATAGGTCCGAATAGAAAGGAGTTTAAATAGGCTGTTAGTCAACTACAATATCTAAGTTGGGCCAGTATTACACGGGACTCTAGAAGAAGCTCAAGCTATTTGTTTGAAATAGGTGGTGGTTTGGCACCGTGAACCCCTTTCGCTGGAAAAGTGTTCAGCAAGATGTTTATAGATTCTTGGAGAATGGCGTTAGTGCCTATTGGTAAGCCGTCCGGCCAGGGGTTGTTTTTGGACTTACGGTCGAGTACTCCCTTTCTGATGTGCCTGCACGTTAACAAACAGCTGCTTGTTTTGGCAGACTTGTAGCATCAACAACTTTCAAAACAGCCGGTTCTACTCGCGGGAGTTAACCTAGATTTTATTCGGCCTAGGGCTATCATTCTGTCGGCGACCTAACCTCGATTAATTTAACAGGTAAAATTAGTGTTTGGCGTCCGCGGTAGCCGAGTGGTTAGCATTACGTACTGACATTCGGGAAGCTCAGGTTCATATCCAAAATTAAATTTTCTAATTGCGGTCCGCGCTCGGAAGGGAATGTCCACCCCCCCCCCCGAGTGTATTTCGGACATGAAATATCAGCCGTTCGAAGGCAGCTTAGTATAAATTATAGGTCTCGCCATTTGTTGGAAACACATCGAGACGCAAAACCACAAATTTGAGGAGGAGCTCGGCCGAAAAATCGCTTCGGCGGCTACAAAGGGCCAATTATATGTATATATGTATGTATATATCTAACATTAGTGTTTTGTCTTAAGTCAAATATATAGGTTAAACTTACAGGAGCAAAAGATGGTTAGATCTCAACAGGATGAAATCCTCACCCTTACGCCGAAATTGTACGTATTACTCCGATGTATGTGATAACCGCTGTCGTTGTAATTCTTGTTGCTGTGGTTGTAACCCCAAAATATTCCCCGAATGGGTTTTCGGTATAAAAACTCGACTGTCGCGGGAACTATTGCATTTTAGTCTCCTCTTACCAGGCATGGTGATTGCAGTGATTGTCATTTTGGTCGGTGGCAGGAATCATACTTTTCCGTTTAAAGGGAAATATTAATTAAGAGATTCCTCATTGATGTTCCCCGAAGCAAATCAGCTTCAAGAGATTTATAATGGATTTTAAATTATTTATGCAATCATGACCTCCTTATCCAAAGCGTTCCATGCTATTTCATAGATATCCAACGACGGTTTGACAGCGAGTATCACCATTGTCATTAGAAACACGAAGAAAATGGAAAAGGAACTAAACCGTCTAACAGAGGTGCACTACGAAGCGGTGAGTTTTTTTTGGCGCTATATTAAAACCCTCATAGATAAACTTTTTTGTTTGCATTCAATCTTCATAGGCATTTAAATGTCTACAACTGGAACGTAAAATTATAGTTTTACAAGGTGGTGACTTCGATCCCATGCAGGAGGCGGAGGCACAAAAATATTTAGCCAAGTTGGAGGCTCAAAATACGATACTACAAAAACGACTACAAACTACCGAGGCACAAAACAAAAAATTGGACTATAATATGCGGAACCTAACTGATGCGTATAATGTTGATCTTAAGAGGTTGCAAGAAATGGTTAGTGATTGATGAATCATTTTCAACCATAACAGCATTTTTGTAGATATTCCTTAAATCTTTATTTCCCTTACGCAGCTTTTCAATATAAAAGAGGCACAAATGTACTGTGAGGGTGGTGTGAAGCGTCTAAGTATCGAGAGAAAAAAGAACCAACAGAAGATTGTGGAGTTAAGTTTGCTAAAAATGCGCAGTACCGAGTTTGAGAATGAAATAATCGCATGTGAGAACAATACCTATCACTTAGGTAAACATCGCTTGCAGTTAAATCGTACAATGAAGGATCGTTTGGTGGAAATAAAGAGTCAGATGGATCTATTGAATTTGAAACGTAAGCATTTGAATGAAGAAAGAAGCACATTGCTGGCGGATATCGGCGATCGCAAGAAACATATTGATGTGGTACGTGCGCGTCTCGAACTAACATCCAAGTTAATGGGCGTAAATGAGGATGGCACTTTGGTAACGGCAACCCAATTGAAAGTGGAAGCAGCGCAAGAGAAACAAATGCTTTTGGACGAGGGCAATAGCTTGAACGATAGGGTGATCAAAGCAGAAGAGGAAATTAAAGCGATGGAAAATACATTAATGTTGCTCAATCATTCGAACGATTCGTATCGAAAGAATCTAAACAAGAAAGTTGATGAAGGTAATTTGTCCATACATATGAGTATAATCCAGATAATTTTTAAAAATCCAGACGAGGCTAAATCCCGTCAACACTGTATTCAGAAACCAAAAAAAAAGTTCTTCTTCTACATTAGCGTGGACCCGCTTACGTAATCATTGGCGTCAGCGTGTCATTCATTTCGTCTTTTTGCTGTTTGACATCAATTAAAAATAGCAAATGGAACTACATTGCTCTCCAACTGATCCATCCAATGGAGTCGATATCGTAATTTTTCTCTGCTTCCAGCGGTTGGTGGCCGCTGATGTTGTTGTTGTAACGGCTTTCTAGCCCCACTCAGGAGAGGGAGACTAGACTAAGGCGTCGACTTCACAAAACAGGATGTCCAGAAGGCGAGCTGTTTCGACCGGTGGTTGGCTGGGTGGCTAGTGTGGTCCGGGTCTCATTGCATGTAGGATAACCGATTTTACACAGCGGAGACGACTTAGATTTTATTCGGCCCAGGGCTGTCACTTTTTCGACGACCTAACTCTGTGTAGATAAAAAAATTAAGTTAAATTTTCTAATTGCGGTCGCTCTTTAGCAGGGAATGCCAACCCCTCCCAGTGTATTTCTGACATGATATAAAGCTCCTCATAAAAAAAAACAATCAACCGTTGGAAGGCGGCTGAGTATAAGCTGTGGGTCTCTCCATTTGTTGGAAAAGAATCAAGACGCAAAACCATAAATTGGAGGAGGGGCTCGGCGGCCGCCAATTATATATATATATATATATATATATATATATATATATGTGTAGGTTATCAGGTAATTCTAATCTAGGTACATCAATGGAGCAAAATAGAAATCGTGACCATTGTCTCTTTATTTACTGAATTATGTTCATGGAGCGGTATATCTGGTACGACTCATAGTTCCATCGTTTTTGCTCTTTGAGACAGGATTTTATATAATTGCGATAACTGTTTGATGATGATATCTTGTTTTTTTTTTTACTACCAGACCGCTTCAGTTCGCTTCTTTGTCTAATCATGAGAAAGCAGTGCTCGTAAAGACGGTAGTAGTGATCGATTCTGTATAACCACCTGGTTGGGGATTTAACAACTTAGGTCTGGATACTGTAGCAGGTTATATTCCTACCTATCCAGACTCGACCCCAGCAAGTGGAGAATCTCCGCACGACACTAACTACCTCTTCATATACCAACTTAAGCCGACTCATCTAACCCCCTTCTCCCTCTGGTGCAATCCCGTCGGCTTAGATTGATTAAACCTGCCCCTAAGCGGAGCTAGTGAACCGCTACAACAAGAACGTTCTTTAAAATCATTTTGAGCAAAATCGTTTAAACTATTCGTAAAGTCTTGACAAAATATCAAAATGATTAAAAAATTCAAACGATTTTTTAGATAAATTGTTTTAGATTTGGACGTTTATCTGGATTTGATCGTATCTGGAACATGTCTTTTTTTTGTGTGTCCGGATCTTATTTTATACCCAAAAATCTTTCTCTCTATAATTTATTTCTTTAGATCAAGTGATTGAAGAAATGAAGGAATTACAGTCAAATTATTGCCTTGCCTTGACCCAGCTTAAGAGCTTACGCAGCAAGCACAGACAAATAGAGAAAGAAAATGATAAAAAGCTAAGAATATGCGAAGAAATGGAACACAAATTGGAAATTTCCTCTGGCAAAAAGTATATTAATTTAAATTTGAAATTACACATTTTTTTTTATCAATTCCTTTGCAATAGTGTTGAAAGTAACGAAATTTTGGAAAAACTACAAAAGGAGCTCTATGATCAGAAAACTAAACTACAGCGCGCCGAACGTGAGGTCAGACTTGCATTAAAAACTGTAAGAGATCGTAATTTAGGTAAAGAGTTCATTGACGGTTATGAACGTGAATTGGATTTACGTGAATTTGAATACCGCAACTCTAGTGCTCTTAACCAGTTAGCTGATATGGCAGAAAATGACGATGATATTGGGCCCAAAGTTATACGTATAATGTTAGAAAAAGGGCTTAAAATGCCACATCTTCTACCAAAAACTCGGAGCTTCGCATCTTGGCGGAGCGATTTATCGGAAACCTCATCATCACGCGGTGTGTTTTTAAACGATGCTTTGTTTAAATAATATATAACATTTCGATTACATTTTTATTTTTTCTTTACAGATATACCTTTTTCCACGCCACATTCCTCTGTTTCCGGTAGTACCAGCGCTATTATGCAACCCTCCGTAGTATCCATAGATTTTTCCCCATCATAAAGCCTTGTATATTAAAATTTATCTGCATTGTCGGCTTTATTACTTTAATACAAATATATATTTTTTAAATGGCATAATTTATTTACAAATTAGTACCTCAAAACAAACAAAAAATGTTCGTTCTTACATTGTCCTTTTTCGAAAGAAATTATTCACTCCTCAGCTTCGGAACCGCTGCCAGATCCACTTCCCGAGCCACTTGGTGTAGCGCTACCCGATCGTGAAGGTGAGCCCGATGCTGATCCAGAACGTGAGCCAGATGCACTGCGAGAACGTGAGCCTGAATGGGAACGCGAACGTGAGCGAGCTGGTGTTTTGGATGGTGAACGTGAACGCGATCGAGAGCCGGAAGGTGAACGCGAGCGTGATCTAGATCGACTAACTGAGCGTGATGGCGAACGTGAGTTTCGCGACCCTGATCGTGAGCGCGATTTATTAGAACCAGCAGGTGTTGCAGACCGAGAACGTGATGGGGATTTAGAGCCGGAACGTGATCGTGAACGCGAATGTGCAGTGGATTGTGAGCCACTGCGACTACGGCTACCAGATTTAGAGCGAGAACGTGACCTAGATGCACGCGATCCCGAACCAGACCTAGAGCCCGAACCAGAACTAGAATGTGAACGTGAACGAGATTTTGATTTTACATGTGATTTGGAACGCGAGCGTGACTGCCGATCTTTGGCTTTTTGAGCAGCTTCAGCGTTGTCGTGATCAGATTCATCCTCACCGCCAATTTCAGCGTTTTTATTAGTGTTACTTTCGCTGGTAGCTTGAGTAGTTTGCACGACCTCTTCTTGCTCTTCCTCTTCATCTTCCTCCATTTCTTCGTCTTCCTCATCTCCTGCTGGTTCAAGCTGCCTTTCACGGTAGCGTTGCATGCGATGTTCATTGGCATCTAGTGGGCGGTGCTTAACAACCTAAATAAAATTAATATTTAGATTTTAAATGTACAAATTGGAAAAAAAAATTTTGAGCACGTACCAGTTTAGTATTGCTTGGTTGCTGTCCGGTTTTGACACGTCTCTTATTCAGGCGCACACGTGTTTCCAATTCATTATAATATACACCATCTTGACGTACAACAAAAAAGTAGTTTTCCTCATAGCCTTTGGAAGCTTTGCTTTTGACGTTCCAATTATATTCACGTGCAATTTTGTATTCATAATCTTCGTCATCTTTGTATAAAATACTTTCGGCAAAATCATTGCGTCTCTTTTCCAAAGTTTCTTCAGTAGGTAAAAAGTATGCAACGAATTGTTCACCGCTTTCATCCATCACACCGCGAATCATGGCCTGAGACATTTCTTCCAACTGTGCTGGTACGTTCTTGCCAGCAGGTGCAGGATCACTATCGAAAATAACTTGGGCACATGGATACTTCCAATTTTTGTAATCTGGATAAACAGGCATAATTTCGACAGGCACCACATTTGGTTTAGAGTAATGCTTAGTAATTTCTTGTTTAGAGTCACTAAATGTTTTCTCTATAGCCTTAATTTGTGCATCGCGATCTAGATAAAGAGTTTCTTCTCGTAGCGATTTTTTAACATTATAACCAACCTTGGCTTCGATATTCTCAAGGTTCTGCGGCTGGAAGCGCGTTTGTTCTGTTGAAATATATTCAGATTTACGCAACCAAGACACACTACGTGAATGCTGGCGTGAGCGCATTGAGTCATGTGGAGTGTGCACATCTTCTTCTAACAGCTTTTCATCAGCGGGGTCAAGTTGAGCATATGGGTCAGCTTGATATAAATCTCGATTGATTAAGTCGATAGTTACACCTAAATCATGTTCGGTAAGCACTTCATATTTGTAGTTGCGTTCCAAAGATGTGGGATTGTATTGCACAAAGCGGTTCGTGTCAAATGGATACTGAAGAAATTTCAAGTCAAAAGGTATATCTGGCAGACTGTTGCCGTATTTAACACGACAAATCAACTCCGACCTAAAAAATTGATGTTTTTTAAAGTACATATCTTTTGGAGCACCAACATTTAATTTTCTACTTACTTTCGTTCGGTTGCCCTGACAGGCCGCTTGTCCGCATTCGATGTTGTATTAATTATAGTCGGCGCCATAATTATGTGCACCTCTATTTGTCTTCAGAGTGAATATATTTAATACTTGAAAGCTAAATAAATTATTTTGTCAATTTTATAAATGCAACACACATTAGAAAATCCGAAATGTCCACAAATGAAAATAGTAAACGAATGCAACGCGGAATAAAAAATAATCTGAAAATAATGTCAAACTGTCATTTCTGCTGTCACTGGCCGCAAAAGCCAAAGTGATGGGTTCTACACCGATAACTTATCGACAAATTAGAAATAATTACCTATCGATTCTAAAAATCACTGTTATAAAAATTGAATAATAGTTAACTTCAACGAAAATAATTAGATGTATATACTTCAAAATGGCTGCCGCGGTAGCCGAAGGGATTGGGTACTGACATTCAGAAGGCTCGTGTGCATATACCGGTGCCGCTTATATCCAAAAGTTCTGGAAAATTAATTTAAATAGAAATTCAAATTAAATTTTCTAATTGCGGTCGCAAAACCACGGCTGCAAAGCGCCAATTATAAATATATGTATATATACTATACCTTAAAAACTTATGAAACTAATATAACTGCCATTAAATGATTTAACAGATGTGACCTAATCCACTGTTTGTTTTAGCCACACTCCCTGGCTTCTCTAAATAAACAATTTTTTTGCAGCCAATCGAGGTTAAGCGATTAGTAAAAACTAATATCAACAAATAAAGGTTACTCAAGACATAAAAATTGTCTTAGGTAAAGCTGAGAAATACCAGAATTATTAATAAAATCTCTGCTGCGAAAGTGGTATTTAAAATTTCTTTACATAACTTAGTTCCGTAATGACAGTTTTATCTGTTGCAATCTGTTGGCATATACTGTTCTGACGTTCGCTGATGAAATTTTTGTTCTCTCAGCCTAATGTGGCCAATTACTTATCATCGCGTTGCCAACTATCTGATGAAAAATAAAATAACTGCGAAGTTGGCACAACATTCCGTTAAGGTTTAATATTAGAAACCTCTATATTCTTCTAAATCACTCATCAACGTGTTTATGACCCGTGGATGATTACCGTAGGATGCACTATTGGAAGCAAAATTTGTAGATGGAGTTTCAAAATATAATGGTCAGCGTATGCGTACTTCGAATCAATTTTTTTTGTTTACATCCACACAATGTTTCATTCGACTGTTTGTCGGGAATTTTTTTTATTTCCATGGAACTCCTTTGACTGACATAATTGATACGCAACGTACATACATACATATTTATGTTTTCGTTTCTAAGAGTATAACTTGTAATAAATGAGTGCATACATAAATAGACATTATAATGATATGTATATTTTTTTTGTTTTGAATATTCAGGCAAACCTATTTTCTCATTTAGTATCCTTAGCTGATATTGTAGATATTTCATACCTTTGCGCTTCAATTAGAAATATCATTGTCAAATCCAGAATAATTTAATTATCTGTTCCTTAATTGAAATTAGACATTGGGCTAATAATTTTATATATTTTTCTAAATCAAAGGTTTGGATAAAAAATATGTGAAACTATTTTTTAGCTTTATTAACACTTTGATTTAAATACTTGCTTGAATTTTTGGAACAAAAAATATTAATTTTTAACTCTATAAAATTAAAAAATTAAAAAAAAATACAATAAAGAATTGGAAACAGTATTTTGGTTGCAAAACAACCATATATTGACGATGTATCATATTCCAAAATGTATTGTTAAAGTTATAGATGCACAATCAAAAGCAAACTGCACATCGCTAATGTCTGTGATGCCTTATTTTATTTTATGGTTTCGCAACCGCATCATTACAAAGTATTTTAATTTTTTAAAACTCGCAATACTTTCTGCTTTTTAATAGAAATCACACTATTTTCAAACGCTGCGACATTTTACTAAAATAAAAAGTATTTATTTTTTCATAAAAAAAAATAAAAGTAGTACAATATTTAGTTTTCATTTTATACAAGGTTTTGAAATAAGAGGTGCTCTTTTGTTATTTCGTTCACGATTTACGTTTCTTCGAGGGTTAAAACGGCCCGCAAAATCTTCTCTTAAAATATCGATGATTTCGTTGCTTGTAAAAGTTAACGCTGCCCAGATCAATACCATCTAATTCCAGCTGAAAAAAAACCGTTAATCTTTTCTCGATAGCGAAATTCCTTTACCGTCATTTTCGAAAAAGTAATGCCCAATGACTCCTCCTGAAAATAAGCCCCACCAAACAGTTACACGTTGAGAATGGGAAGGCTTTTCACAATAATTTTTGGGTCTTTCGAGCACCAGATGCGACTTTTGTCTTATTGATGTAGTCATCTAAGTGGAAATGGGCCTTATTAGTCAAACTGATTTTTCAAAGAAATTACGAATCATTTTCATGCATTTCGAGGACTCAATCAGCAAAGACACGGCGTTGTTGATCATCGGTTAGCTTGAATTCTTGTATTAAGTGAACTTTGTATGCCTCAACATCCAAGTCTCTGTGCAAAATATGGTGTAATCACGTTTATGGAATGATGCCCAAATCCTCTAGAACTACGAGGAATGGTCAAACCAGAGACTATAGCAGCAATGATTTCAATTGTTCTTGAGCAACGTGTATATCAACTCGTCCCAACAGCTGCATTTTTCCACCAATTTCTGTATTGCTTTACGATGACCAAAAAATGTTTTAGTTTTGCAAACTGCCTGTCAATTTTTACAGCGAATTTTGATAATTTTATTGCATAGTTGAAGCGTGTATCGTTCCATTTTATTACTGGTGTAGTTTTCACTAGTCAAATGTCCAAAAATTACAATTTCAAAAGTGACATCTACCGGAGTAGCAGGCTTTTCAAAATAACACCTTTTATTGGAAAAGTCTTTATTTGGGGAATCCACGCTCTTATTTATAATCATTGATCCCACATACTCATGTAGATGTATGTACTCGTATATACATATTATTTCGATACATACTACTAAAAGTAATAAAAATTTCACAATAGTTGTTGGTTATCACAATTTTCGCGGTTTTCCGCTGAGTTAATTATTAAACTTGGGACCAATGGGTATACATATATATATGTATGCATATGTATGTACATTTGTTCATGTGTGTATGCATGCAAGTAAGAATGTATATATGTGTGTAAATAGGCACTAGTAGATACATATATAATAATTATATTACAATTATGTATACATTTCAATTTACTGGCTTTATATTTCATTACAATTTATAGCTCGTGATTCACGTGAGCGCTGTCAACTTAATATTTAAATATTTTAATAAGTCTCTCACTAGGTGAATTAATAAAAGCGGAAAAAATCACCACCTAAGAGAACAAGTAAATTTCTTTTCTTAATCATTATTATTGAATCGGCTTTTGAAACGGCCAGAGTGTTTATCAACATTAATTTGAAAACTAAAATCAGACGGAAAGAAAATTGATTTAATGAAAATATAAATTTAAGTACAATTAACAGTCGCTGGCTTTTAATAAATAAATAAATATTTATGCAAGCCATGCGCAGATGATTTTAACATACTTACCTACTATTTTCTGTGAACCAGTGGAATCATGAGAAGGATGCAACACTAAACAACAATAAAAAATTTTTAGGATGGACATAAGTTGTAACCAGTCGATAAGTGGTTCTCACGTCGTGAAGGTAAGAATTGTAAACATTTTGGGGTAAAAGGCACACCTAGTGTAATGGTCTAAAAAAAAGGTGATTTTTGGGAATTTTTATAAAAAAAAAATACTTTATCAATTATTTCAAAATTTTAAGAATACATGTTTCAAGAATATACAGTGAAATTTTTGAAGAAAAAATTAAATATTTTTTAAGTTATAGTCGATCTCCAACGACGCGAAAAAAGGTCCTTCACTGCTGCAGTGATTCCGGCCTTCTCCGTGGATGAAATCTAAAAAAATTCTCTACTAGATAATATTGTCTGTACAATGACCTATGATAAAAAAATCAAAAATTGACAATATGGCGGCGTTTTAAAAAAAGTAGTCGAATTTTACCCAAAATTTTGGTCGTTTTTGGGTCTGCCAAAACTCAATTTTTTGATCAGTTTAAAAATCGATAGGTCATTGTACGGAGAACTATATATAGAACCTGTAAAACAAATTCGATAAGGTTCGAATTATTTGTTTTTGCGTAATCACTGCAGCGAATGCGGAAAATGCTGTTTCGAGAAAAACGTGTTGAAAGATAAAATGATCGTTTTCACTCCTAGCTAATGAAACTCTCTAACTGCCGAGCGGCTGCTCTTTAAATTGTTATAACTAAAAAACTATTTGAGATATCGATTTGAAATTTTAATATTATATTTAAGATAGGTTTTTTTGAAATTACACACTAGGTGTGCTCCTTAAGGTGGATTAATTTCAACAATTTTCTGATTTGTGGAATTCATAAGGTGTTAACAAAGTTTTATTCTCCGAAAACTATGCATACTTAAAAAGGTTTGTTTTAGTATCATTAAGACATAAAGTAACAAGGCACAGGGACACGCATTAGGTCTTACGTTGTTCGAGTAGCAACCCTAGCTCCGATTCTTATTGCATTTTAATTCAAATTAATATTTTTATTTAGCATTATTATTTAAATTAAATTAGTCTTTTAAGTTACGTTAGTTTTTTACGTAGCATTACGTACTGACATTCGGTAAGCTCGGGTTCAAATCCCCGTGCGACCAACATCCAAAAGTTATAGAAAATTAATTTAAATAAAAAATTAAATTAAATTTTCGAATTGCGGTTGGCAGGGAATGTCAATCCATCCGAGTGTATTTCTGATATGAAATAGAGGCTCCACATAAAAAACTGTAGGTTCCTCCATTTGTTGGAAATACATCAAGACGCAAAAACCACAAATTGGAGGAGAAACTCGGCGGAAAATCGCTTCAGCGGTGTAATACCAACCAATTCGGAACATAAAATATCATTAATCATCTCTAGATAACGCAATCCATGAAATTTCCAAAAAATATGAACCAACGACACCGCCGGACCATAAAACACATCAAACAGTTACAAGTTAAGAATAGATAGGCTTCTCAACAATAAATCTCGGGTCTGCTGCTTTTCTATAAGTGTGAATGTTGTTCGGGCAAGTACTCGCAACTAGGACCATCTGCAAGGTAGTATGCACTGCTAACTACTTGACTATTGCGGCCGGCAATCTTTTC